TGTGTGTGGTGATGTCTTATTATTAAACAGATATCATACCCACTGTTCAATGCAACAGGTTTCATTTCCTGGTTCACAGAAGAAAAGATAAATGGGTGCACCTGACCACCTACATGTGGTCACTTAAGATAAGTCCAGGTCTGTTCGCCTACGTGCGACCAGTATGCCTTTCTGTTAGCTTCTTCATGAGCGTTCCATCAGACTGCTTCTATCGGACTTCTTGAACCAAATGAAAATGTGTTTAAATGAAGGGTTCCTACTGTATGTGTAGATAGCGCTATCTGGTGCATCGTTGAGGCACGATTCCCATAGCGCTCGGCCATTGACCCCCGAACACTGAAATACATCTGGGAGGGGGAAATCTGAAAGGTTTCAGATTTTAAATTACGTCCAAAGGTGCGTCTTTTTAACGTTTTGTGTGTTACCTTTATTTATTAAATATCTTGTTCTTTGCACTTAAACCATAAAATTCAGTTCAATAGCAATGTCACAAAATAATTTTAAAATGAGCATATCTTTAGAATATCCGATACACAGTTCCGCTTGCTGGAGATAAAAAGGTGTCCCCCACATTGCTTGCTTTGAAATCCTGGCGTTTGTTAATCAAAAATTTGTTAAAGTTTTACAAAATATGAAATCGACAATAAAACAAATTTCAAATTTGGTCTTCCGCATGCCCATATTCGTAGGAGGATTACGTCGTTCAAAATTCGATGGCTGTATGTACCGTTGTTTTATTACAATGCGAGAAATATACATACAGTCATGCAGATTTTTCATTATTTGATTTCTTCAAATATAATGCAGGACTTTAACATTTGGTGGTAACAGTTTGAAAAGTGAAACAGTCATTTATAGTGATTAATCACAAAACAAAACAAATAGTCTTTCAGGGACAAAGCCCCTTTGAACTAAAAAAAAAAAAAAAAAATTTTGCAATAGAATGATCTCAGGTTGTAATTTCATCAGACCAGAGCTTCATGTGGTCAGCCAAAGTAGAAGTTGCTTCATGTCCTTCATGAAATCCTACTTTTGTTATGTCATAGAGGTCATGTGCTTAAAGGAATATTGTCCTTTGAGATTGGGTTCAAGAAACCATCTGCTTTGCCTTGCTTTTTATTACAGAGGACACACTTGACACAGTTTAATATAACTTGCTGTATTTTCTTTGCAGCATTCGAAATATGAAAATCTCTTTTCAACGGGTCTTCTGTACAGCAAAGTGTTCTTTGTTACATATGCGAATAATCTCTTAACTCCATCGCTTCCGGCACAACGAGTTCTCGACCTCTCTCCTGCAGATACAGCACATTATCTTTTAGCAGTTAGTCATCTCTCAATCCTTTTTCGACCAAAGTTTTCAATAATTGGAGACGGTCATCAGCCTGTTGCGATCTTAGTGGTGATTTCACTTTGCAAACGAGTGACCATGCATACAGCATGCCTGCTTAATGTGTCGATGTGTCTCATCTGTTGATTGGGTCTGTGGATAGTTTCATATTCGAAATCTTCGAGTAGTAATGCCCATCTAGCAATCTTTGGCATCAGATATTTTACTGCATTGTTTTCTGAAATGCATAGCAGTCAGTGATTATTTTGATTTTTGTCCATAAGAGATAACTTTGAAATTTCTTTAAGGCTTCAATGATCATTAGAACTTCAAGTTCATAACTTGACATTTTTTCTTGTTAGGGTGATGTTTTCTTACTCATGTAATGGATTAGATGCAGCTGTTTATCATCTGAGTGTTGAAGCAACACTGGACTGAAACCATGACTACTAGCATCCATATGTAACTTTAAAGGTCTTCCTTGCTGGAAGATGAGAAGTATGAGGTTTTGTCTCAAAAATTAGTGGTCAAAAGCCTGCTTCTGCCTTAGCCCAAATTCAAATTCTGCATTATTACGAGGCATATCATTCAATGGTTTGGCTATTTTCGAATAACCATGTACAAATTTTCTAAAATATCCTGCGAGACCTAGGAAGCTTTGCATTTGCTTGACGTTCTTCAATTAAATTTTTCTTTTTAGGAATTGACATTTTTTAAAACTAATTTCTAGTCCATATTCTGAAACTACTTTTAAAACTCGTTTTAAGTTTTTCTAAGCCATCTTTTTCATCGCGGGAGGGTATGATAAAATCATCCATGTAAATTACAACTGTATTATCCCTTAATAATTCTGTGAATACATTATAGATAAATCTTAAAAATGCACTAGGACTTGTGGTAAAACTAAATGGAGCCTTAAAAATTCAAATAAACCTGCATGACAAATGAATGCTAAATATTTGGTACATTTTTCATCGATTGGAACATGGAAAAACCTACTTTTCAAATCTAAAGTTGAAAAAACTTTTCCTTCCCTAAATGATCAAGTACTTCTTCTACCTGGGGTATAGGAAATGAATCTTTTACAACTTTTTTATTAAATTGTCTGAAGTCAATGCATAATCAATGTGTTCCATCACGTTTTTTACATATCAAATAACAAAATTGGGGATGTGTATTCAAAACAAGGGGGTTTTATTATTCCCATTTGCAACCACTCATCTATCTGTTTATCAACAATTTTTTGTTCAACAAACGGTAATCTCCGAGACCGTTACAATACTGGAATATCATCTTTTAACGCAGCAGTCATCTTTAAATTCGTGTCTGATTTTATTTAGTTTATTTCAACGGAATGAGCCATTCTTAATACTTTGGTTTTGAACACTTGGTACTTTCAGTTCATTAGACTGAGATTTAGGATTATGTATTTCAGATGATTTTCCTCGGGCTAAGAAATATAAATCACATTCCAGCCCAAACTGGGTTGGATTAAACCATGTTTTTTCCTTCGTGAACACCTGTGTATTCTTTCGTTTTAAAATCCGAAATTTCATACAATTTATCTGCAACAATTAAATCGCATAACTTTTTATAGTCCTTTTGTGCTCCCCTGACCTGACAAATGTATTCAGAAGTTGCAATCAATCACGATGCAAACTGAACATGCAACATGTTTGCTGCGCATTGAGCATGCTTAAAGGTGTTAAGAATCTCTCTTGGTGCCTCCTGAAATTCAGCTAAAAACAACTCTTTTAGTTTTTCATAATCCCACAATTCTTCATCAGTTGCATATGTTAAAACATTATTAGCTTTAATCCCTAGCAAATTAACTAGTATCTCAGCTTGTAAGTCTTTCAGAATGTCTTTGATTGAAAACGCTTTTTCCAATGAAATAAAATACAAATGCAATGCCTTTGGTCGCTCAGGAACAGAGATTGTAAGTGATTTAATACTTTTTATTAAATTTTTAATACTAATCTGCTCATTTTCTTCTATCACTCGTAAAATGATTGTGATTTAAAATTTTCTAGTTCAATCTGCTTTTCAATTTGGGCAAACTGTAGGTGTTCGATCTCTAACAAATAGTGTTCATTACTTGTTTTAGGCATCCGATTTGACGATGCCACGAACGAATTCAACGTTTGTTTTGAAGACATCCAAATTTTCAATAATTTTTCTAATATCAGCTTTTTTAGCATTTTCTGGAACTTACTCTCCAATTTTTTCAGGCATTAACTTTAATCACTTTTGTTTGAGTTATTTAAGAAACTCATTTTAACAATGAAACAGAAGTAGCACTAACTTGAAGAAAGAAAAAAAAGTTTTCATAGTACCTTATTTTGAAGTATCCTGTCTGAGCCTACATATTTGTGGGGGTGATATCTTATCATTAAAGAGAGATCAAACCCACTGTTCAAAGCATCAGGTTTTATTTCCTGGTTCACAAAAAAGGTAAATGGGATGAATATGTACATGTGAATTGAGTATGTTTAGGAGAGGAATCACAACATTGGTTCCAGTAATGGGCAGGTAAATGATACAGCTGACCACCTACATACTGTTACTTTAGATAAGTCCAGGTCTGATCACCTACGCTCAACCAGTATGCGTGTTCTTGTATCTCCTTCGCGAGCGTTCCATTATACCACTTCTGTCGGACTTCTTGAACAAGTGTAGATCTGTTTACCTGGAGGGTTCCCACTGTAAATATAGATAGTCCCGTCTGGTGCATCTTTGAGGCACAATTCCCACATTAGTATTATTAATACTGTTTAATTACAGTGCCTTATACTAGCAAAAATTTATAACCCTCCCCCTCATCATCATTTCCTTCCCTTTCCTAGCTATTACCATTTTAGTAATCTTCTCAGATTTTTTTTTTTTTTTTTTACTTCCACCATTGCTTCTGAATTATTATGTATATAATTATCTTTGATTTGAATATGACCTGAAATAGTAAGTTTACCATTTCGTACACATTACAGTGCTAAGCATCTGCTGTCATAAGTGGTTTCAGTAAAATAAGGAAGTATGAGCTTTAGGGGGCTTGAGAGAGACCTTTGCTAAAGTTGTTTCTAATTTGCAAGCCTCTTGTTCTTTCTATTTACTTATTTATATATTCTATGAAAAATAATAATGCATGACATAATCGTATTTATCATTTAATTAATAATTGTAAATGATTATTCTCAGAATGAGAATGTTGAATATAGTTAACCTAGGTTCCTTGCATTAAATACTTACCCAAGCTGTGAATACAAAAGACAAAGGCTTGAATATAGTCTTAAGTACTGCAGCAACAAACATGAAATTATAAGGGGCTAAAGAGCGTTATGCTTTAAAAATAACAGTACAGCAAATGCATTAGAGAGAAAAAATATTAATTTTATTCATTTGTTATGCTATTCACCTAACTGCAGTGCTTTGCAACTGAAAGAAATTACAATATCTTCAGTTATGCTTAAATGTCTAGTTTTTAATTTATTTCAAAATAAAATAAATGCATGGATTATTGGAAATGTGATAAGTTAATGCTTTTTGTTTAAAAACTTTATAGGTATATTCAGATAATTTCAGAAGATCAGAGTGTATAGATTTCTGATTTTTAAATTATGTATTTATATTATGTCAACTTGTAAATTATGTAAAGTAAACTTTTCCTTTTAAGTCCCTGGTGGTAGTGATGGTCCTAGTGGTGTGTTGATTTGCTCAGAAAATTATATCACTTACAAAAATATTGGTGATCAGCCTGATATCCGTTGTCCAATTCCTAGGAGACGAGTATGTTTCTTTTTATTTTAAATTAATCTTAATTTTTTGAAAATGTTATTGTGAAAAATAAAAAGTTGCAAATATAACATCAGATGTCAATATAAAATTTAATTTACATCTTATTACCGAGCAAGACTGAACTTTCACCCTTCAAGAATTCAAAATTTTACATTAAAATATGTTTGTTTCTAAAAGTTTAAAGAAGAAAAGAATAGTATAGCAGCAAGCATAAAATTTTTAAAAAATTAAATGGAATAATATACATAAGACTCCAACTACTACAGATGCCATTGTTGTTCTGTCCAGTGTTTGCAGCGATCTGTTTTCATTTAAAAGAACATCACAGATAGCTGTATGCATCTTCCGCTTTGCTCGTCAATTGAAACAGAAATTTGCTATGTACCTGACTTCCCACATAAATAATTTTTGGAAACATACTGCTTTGTCTCTTGGATACTTTTTTGTGACATTTTGGGAGAATGCAGATAATCAGAAAGTACATAGTTTTCTTTATCTTTTTAAAGTACTCATGTGTAGGAAAAAAATTAATTATTTACATAAATTTTAAGAATTTTAAACTGTTCCAGACAATATTAAAAATATATACTTTTATATAAAAACAAAATATATCTGTTTGTCTAGTACCATATATGCTCACATAATGTTGGCACTTTTTTACTAAAATTACATCACTAAAATGCAGGGGCAGACATTACATGGGTGGTTCAAAATGTCATGCTTTTTCTCATGAGTAATTTTGGGTGTAAATTTCATTTCAAACAGCCAAGTTCGAAGTGGTAGAAAATGGCATAAGTAATAAAAGTATCAAATTTAAAATTGTAGGAGACATACATTAACCAACACTTGCAATTTTAATGTTTACTTTTACACAAATTAAATAAACATTGGTTCTTTTAATATCTTGCACGCATTATTTTTTTTTTAAATGTGTTCTTACACACTGTATGCAAATCCATTTCATTTCATCATTCACCGCACCAGCCTTCACTTGTCTTGAATTGCGATGCAGGAATGTCTTCTTCTCATGCTGCAGCAAGCGCTCTTATTTGCCACATTTCCTGCATTACTGCATACTGTAACGCATACCACAAACATACGCAACTACTTTTTTTCCTAAGTTCGAAAACTTACATTTCAATCTACGAAATGCACATCTTGTTTTGTTCATTGCTGCCAGTTGATCATGCTGTTTGCTCCAGTTGTGCACATGCTTTTTGTCCAACTTATATATTCTTGCTGCTGCTCTTTTTCCATTTTCCTGCGCAAATTCTGTGACTTTCAGTTTAAAAGCTGCTGTATTGTCCCATTTCAAGCACGCTACTTGCTAACTACCTCAAATTCCAAATGATACTATGAATGAAAAGAGAAAGCTTCAAACATGCGAATGCTCCAAGGAGGAAGGAGGGGAAAGTAATTTCGTTACAAAACAGTATTTCCTGAAAGCCAGTGTGGTGAAAACCTGTTTGGACTGCCTTCATTTATTTTTGTGTCTGCCGAGTGGATTGCTGGTGCCGATGTTATGACCGAATAACAGCTGCACCAGAATGCAAGAAAAGTCTCTGCTTTCCATTCTTGTCCCAACCAAAGACAAAACAAATGCATATTCTTTCTTTTAAAGATGTTAATTGACTAAAGGGAAAAGGGCGATGTTAAAAAATATATATTAAGTAAGAAATTCTTTAGTTTTGGGGGTGCGACCATTGTGCAGGTCACTTTTTTTTTACATAAATTTTATCTGTAAAGTTGGGGTGCGAACATTACATGAGCATATACGGTATGTTCATACATGCTTTATTATGGAAGGTTAATTTCTTAAAAATATGCGTAGGTAAAATATCTGTATGTGAAGCAAATACATTGAAAAGCTAAATTATACAGTTTATTTGATATTGAAGAATGAACTTTTTAGATTATTCAGGGACAAATAGTTTTCTTTATTTAGTTATATAAGTTTTGATATTGTGTTTATTTCAATATTCTGTTTATTAATTTATAATGCCATTTCTAAGTAAAATTATGCACTTGATCGAAATTAAGTTTTCCGTATTATACATATCCCTTCGTACCATAATTGTATATAATTAACACATTAAAATTTATGCAGCCTATAGTTTTGATCAAATTATTTTCCTGTTTCAGAAATAGATGTGTGATGAAAGATTAAATGTCTTAACTGCATTATCGAATTTTATTCCAGATTTCAAATGCATAAAATAAAGAAAAAATTTATATATCTATTAACTGATACCTATGATTTCAGTAGGTGGTAACTTCCCAATAAATATCTCCCTAATTGTTGGAACAAAATATAATCAAAACTGCCATGTGTTAATCATATTTAATCTTGTAGTTGTTTTATCTTAGCTTATCCCTTCCTATTTTACAATAAGTTTCTGGAATTTGATAAAACATGTAGACCAAAGCTGCCCCTCCTCTAAAGATTATATCATATTTCTAAGAATTGAGAATCTGCCTTTTGCCATACCATGAACTTGTGTGCTCATTAGGCATTCAGGAAAAGTACAACATTAACAGTGCAGATAAACTAAGGTTTAAAAAAAGAAAATTGGTTTAAAGGAAGTGAACGCAACAACGACAGATATTTCCTGGCAATATTTCATCAATCAATGTTTTGAAAATGACAATGTAACAGTGACAGATATTTATTGGCAACATTCATCAATGATGTCATAAAAATGACATGTATCCATTATTATATAAATATCCGTAGAAATATGCTTTTTAATTTTATGTAATATTTGTATGACCATGTAAATTACAATGATATGTATAAAATGTGTATCAGTATAAAAATTAAACATTAAATTACAAATTTTTTGAGAGTATATTTCTTTAAATTTACATTTTATTAAAAGAAAAAGAAATGCACTGAATTATTTTACCTCTTAAAAGTTTTAATTGAAATTCATAAATTGTAATTTTGAACAAAGCATTAACTCTTTCACAGCAACACCTGTCCATTTAATCATTGATAGGTCGCTCCAATGCCAACGTCCATTTACTAACTGATATGCTTTCACCCATCACCTTAGTGCATGGCTCATTGAGTTGGCAAGTTGGTTAAATGACATGCCATTCATTCTTTTGAAAGCAACTTCCCTTTCCTTTGTTCAGCATCAGTGTTTAGCTATTGATGCTCACACTTACAATCCTACCTGAAAGGGGAACTGCACAGTAATCACGTCACATAAGTAAGTTATTGTTAATGCTGCAAAAAAATTCATGTATATGGACATTTCCTATGTTTGAGGTGAATAAGTTTTGGCCTCTTTTGATGTGAAAGAGTTCTCTCAGTTGTATAAAACCAGTAATTGATCAATATATACAAGATCTGTGATGTTGCAAATTTTCTTTCATTTTTATTCATTTATTTATGCAACTTTTTATTTTTTCTTTCTGTATCTAGAATGACTTAGATGATCCTGAAAGAGGAATGATTTTTGTGTGTAGTGCCACTCATAAAACAAAAGTAAGACATTTAATAAATATATAATAGTTTGATAATTTTATTTTATTTATTTGATTTTCATCCATGTTAAATGTGTAATATAACATTTGAAAAGTTACTTTAAGTAAGTGCGTGTCTTCTGTGTGTAAAATAAATGAATATCTACTCAGTTTTACCTTGAAATACAATTTTTGGAAAATTCAGTTATTTCTTTCTTTCTCCCCCCACCCTCTGTTTCTATAACAAATGTAACATCTTGGTTCTTTCTGGTTTGCAGTAGGTGGAAAGTGCCTTTCTGTAAGACATGCTACATCACCAGCTGCTCAAATGACACTCTTTCTGCGCATTTGTTGTTGGCTTGTAATATTTATCAATGATTTTATTTACAAGATCAAGCCTGAAAGACAAGTGATCTAATTTGCCACTACTTTTCTTGTATAAATCATATGCATTAAATTCAGCCATATCTAATAAATGTAGAGATATTTTTGAATATCTCTGTTTATTTCTCACAGCAGGATAATTTGATAGCATCTGATCCAGTCAGTCCACTCCTCCCATTTTGTTGTTTGTAATCTTTTACAATTTTTTTTTTTTTTTACAGTTCTTTTTTGTTTTTCAATATCAGTCATTGTGTTATTATGGACTGTACTCATCAAACATATATCCTTCTTGTCTTTCCGCTTCACAGCCTCATTTTTTCTCTTTTTCTGCTGAATTCCTAAAACCCGTCTCAAATTCAATTAGAAATATAATGCCTGATCAGTACTGCCCTCTAGGAGGTATTAGAACAAACAAAAATGAAAACTCAAACAAGTAAACATTCAGAAAATGTTTTAAATGTGTAAAAGTTTTAAAATGTAATAGGCTTGAAGTGTGTTACGGCCGCCCTACCAAGTTTCGCTGGAACGTGCTAGACGCGTTACGGACGACGAAGAGTTTAAGAGTACAATGCAAAGTTTGAAATCCGGATATTAGATAATAAAATATCTGGGCAGTAGCCAATAAATATATGTATAAATAAAATATCTGTATAAATAAAATAATGAAAAAAAGAAATTTCTCCCCCTCCTTGTGAAATCTAGGAATGGAGAATGTAATACAGTCAAAAGTCGATAATCCGGATTCGTCGGGACTTCGGCGATTCCGGATTATCGATTTTTCCGGATTATAGATTATCAGTTTAAATCTGGTAAGATGGCATGCAGAAATTATAAAATTAAAAATATGAAACCGTAATTTATGAAATAAAGAACAATCATGATCTAAAGGGTATCAAAATTTACAAAAAAAAAAAAAGCTTAATATTTATTTGTTTACTTTATTAAACATTTCTTTCAATGTAAGTTGTTTAAGTTGCTTCGTTTTTTATGTGATAATACATTCTCTTTAATTCTATAAACAGACGTAATTTCTTGTTCATTTACAAAGTTCTGCTGTTCAAGTCCTATTATTGCTGTGTCAAGAACACCAACTAATTTGTCAATCGAAATGTTTTCGTTTTCAATAACCTCTGTCACTTTCTTCGCTATCGGAAGCGAATTATAATGACGAGGAATTTGATTTAAATCATATCAAAGACGGAGTACATCGAGATGAAATACTACATTTAGTAAGGAATTATAAGGCAAATAAAATTTAAAAGTCTGCCCTGAAGATAAGGATAGTGCTGACAGATCAACTTCAAATTCATTGCGCGCCGTGGCGTGAAAGATAAACAAACGTTAAAGTTTACATAAACAGAGGATTTGCCTTTATCCATTTTTTGCAGCAATTCCACTTTTTGTTTAATGTACTTCGAAACATACTTTCGCTTTGTAGATCCTTTACATATTAGTAAATATATATCAGAAATTCTATTTGACATTATGGAAAGTTCAAGCTTACTTTTATAAAATTGCTCTAACAGTCTGCAAAAAATAATAAGCCGAATCCAATTCGAAGATTAAGGAACAACGCAATCTCAGGGTTGCCACGCTACCTGGAAAACCGGGAAAAGTCAGGGAATTCGAAAATTGACCAAAAAATTCAGGAAAAAGTCAGGGAATTTAAGTATTTTTAGTCAAAATCTGGAAACGTCAGGGAAGTTTCATACAATGAATCCCGCCAAAAAAGGCGATTTTTTGCGCCGACGTCGAAAGAGATAACTTTTTTGGCGAATTGCCTATCACGTGAGTGTCTGCTGGCATAGAGCCAATTTTCGCAGCTCCAATTTGATTGCCTTTTAGAAAGGCAAAGCAAGTTTCCCGCAACTTTTGGTTTCCAGTATTCTCGAGAATCGCATGTGCAGTGCATGAACTAAAGAAAGTACTTGTTCTCGTATAAAACAAAATGGGTTTAATCTTAGTATACGGTACCATGGAGGTTAGAATCAAAGAATATGTATTGTAAAGAAGGATAACCTCTCTGCAACAGACGTGGCTCCGTTCCATCATAGAGGGAAACAGCTGTGCATGCGTGATATATCTGCCGCCAAAGCTGGAAACCGGTGTCGAAGTTCGAAGGTCATGTTATCAAGAGTTCATTAAATGAATATCCTTTAAAATTTCTTTAACCACTTGCGCTAAAAAGACGTGCCACGCACGTCGAGATGTTTTTGTCTCAAACTGCAAGCGACGTGAACACCACGTCGATGAGCATTTATCACAAAAATGAAAATAACATGGTGCACACGTCGCCTAACAACGAGATTGTTTATTTCTCGAGTTACAGCTCTGGATTGCACTCGCAGATGCGAAGCGGCGTAAATGAGACACTTTACCACTTGCTATATTGTAGCGCACGGCACCGCAGCCGTGAAGTTTAGTCTTAGCGCAAGTAGTTAAACTCTAAATTAAAAGAAAATATTTTTTGGCGCAAGTAAATTAATTCATAGGTTAGTAATTTTCAGGGGGGGGAACTACGAAAATCCGTTTTTAAAATTATTGCGAAAAATCCAAGAAGAAACGTCCTTTGATAAAACGTTTCTTCTTGGATTTTTCGCAATAATTTAAAATCTGAAACATTTCAGTATTTTCTTTCTTTTTGTTCAAAGACATGTTTCCTCAATTTCCGTATACAATTTCAGTCACATCACGGAGAAGGAAATTCTGGCCTCCAGGTTTCGCGTCGTCCAAATCCCGTTGGCAAATTTTCCCTCCGCATTCTAGCGGCGTAATAGGCATTTTACATCTATGGAACCTTTTCCTTCTTTACATTAGACCAAAGAATTAGAGATTCTTTGCAATAGACCTCCATATATTCTATTCTAACCTCCAGGTACGGTACACATGTAAGATTTGGCGACATTATGAATGCGCAGGTGAAACGGGTCATTTTGGTCTTGGTGACAATTTTCAAAATCGTGCCAAAGCCTTACCGTATACTAGAATTTTACCGCAAAATTTTTAAACTTTTCTTTTTAATAAATACCTTGCCATTTTGCAGTAAAATAGAAAAATAGTAATCTGTCATCTAGGCCTAACCATGTTAATATAACTATATTCGCTAAAATATTGTTGATTATTCTAATACAATTTTTAAGTAATTATCTTTATTTTATGTTATTCGTATCATTTAATGATTTCTTCTTCCCTCTAAATTTATTTATTATTAGTAGTAAATAATACTTTCTAAATTTCAGGAAATTTTCTCTGTCATAATCCTTGAAATTAATTCTAGCAGTATGATGACATACCATCACGAAATTTAATGCACATATTTTTTTTCTTATGTATGCTGCGAACTAAATATAAAATACCTCAATTTATTAAAATAGATTTCTTTGTTTCGTTTAGCTGCAGAATGTCTACAAAAAAAGCCTTATTTTATTCCAGATTGGGAAGATTCTAATCTCAATCTTCAATGCTATTTAGCATTGAACTATTGTAATTTTATATTTGTGTTTTCAAGTGTTAAGGTGCCTTTTAAGAAGACACCTCACACAAATTAAATTTGTCTAAAATCTAACCTAACTATTTAGCATTGCGTTGTGAATTTATAAGGACCGGATTAGCCTCGTATTGAACTGGCGATGATCATGAGTAACAATTAAATAAAACATACATTTGTTATCCAATGTATATATCTTTAAATTTTATTAAGCGTTCTTAAGTGGAAAAGTAAACAAAATTATCAAACGAAAGTTATACCAAGAATAATTAAGAATAAATGTCACTCTGGGATTTATTGAATAATTAAGTGAATTTGCTACACAATACAAGTAATACCATAATTTACCTCTTAGCGTAGCCAACGTACATTACGCGGATAGATTGGAATTTTCTTGAAACGCACCTGGAAAACCTGGAAAAGTCAGGGAATTCCATTCTCCTGTTGAGTGGCAACCCTGCAATCTGCAACATTAACTGAATTAGATAATTTTAGCTTAGCTTATACCGTCAATTATACATTAAACGTGCATTCGTAAACGTATTTTGCGCACACGCATATTCGCAGCCGTAAAGGTCTTACGTGCATGCATCAACGCGACGCATGCGCTGAAAGTTTGTAGCTTTGAGGGTCCGGATTATGGGTGTCCGAATTAACGACTTTTGACTGTACTCAAAAGGAAGTAAAAAGAAGAAAGTATGTCATAAATACAATTTTTCTCCCATTTGAGTGAGATTCCTGCATGCCACTCTCAAATACCTGCTGGCTAGGAAGTTATGCCATAGCCAATACCAATGTGTTGATTAGTATTTTCTTTGATGTTGATTAGGATCACACTTTCGGTCCTTGATTAGTTGTGGGAGTGAGGGGCAGTGCATGTATTTTGTCACCTTGTGCTCCGAAGTCTCAATGCTGCCATGCACACATGTCATGGTATTTGATTTAAACTGAGGATTTAAAATCTGAAACTGCTGAAGTACCAAGGATTCTGGATCGTGGACTTATTTTCTGTAATTCTTCTGGAATCACTGAATGTCTAGTGAATCAAGTAGTTGGATAAACCTAAAAAAAAAAACTGTCAGGTGGTCAATATCTTTTTTTGGGGGGGAGGAAATGATGGATTGAATGATTTATAAGCAAGTTAAATTTTATAGCTGGGAACTTGCATTTACATCAAGCAAAAACCAATTTTGAGAATTTATTCCAACTTTATTTTCACTACAGGTAATGAGAGATTGCTGTAATATTTAGGTATGCAATTTCTCTGAAACGTTTGCAGCAGGTTTTATATATATATATATACTTTTCATTCAGAAAAATTGTTTTGATCATGTAGAAGTGTTAGTTCTAATTCAGTTTATCCTGATTTGTATTTTTAAGTTTTCAACATGCAAAAATTGCGTTAGATCAAGGTTTTATAATTAACTCATGTATGAAAAAAAAAATGTTTTGTTTTTCAGCTGTGTAATCTAGAAGTGGGTACATTATGCATGGTTGTGGTGGTGGTTCTGTTAATGTATTTATAAATACCTTATACAGTAAGAGCTAAAAATGAGTTCTCGTCCCCCCAGTAAGTAAAACTGGGTATTGATATTTATAATTTTAAATAAATGCAAGTCGGATTTTCAATTATGGGAAAAACATGTTCTGCTCTTCTCAGTTTTGAGTTATTGAAACTTTATTGTAATTTTTCATGAAAATTTTCACATTTCTGTAAAGTACTTGAATTACTTGAAAAAATTTCCGTTGTTTTCAATTTTGGCTTATGAAAACTTGATTACAATTTTATATATCTTAAATGAGTCCATAAGCATTTATCTAGTTAAACTAAAGAGAACTAATCTAATTAAATTAGAGATCTAACTAGAGACTAATTTAATTAAACTAGAGAAACTATTAATATTTATTTTATAGCAACATAAATACTGATGTAACCCTTTTTTATGTGTTATTCAACATTTATTTATTAATGTGCTTAATAATTATAAAACTTTCTTATATGTGTATATGTATATATCTATTTCTTTTGTTTTAGGCCATGTTTTTCTTTCTTGCACAAACAGAACAGGGTGATATCTTTAAGATCACTCTGAAAACTGATGATGACATGGTGAGTTCTATTTTAATTATGAACATTTTTTTATTTCAGGAGCAAAATTTAAATTGCTTTTTAAATGATTGATCTAATTTCTGTATGGCTATTAAATTTTAATTCTTCACCAGTTTTCTCATGAAAAAAATTGCTGTAACACTTTTGTGTAACTAAATATGCATGTACAGTACAAAGTCTTTAATCCGGACTCATCGAGACTTCGGCGATTCCGGATTAGGGGTTTTTCTGGATTATAGATCATCAATTTAAATCTGGTAAGTTCTGCTGTTCAAGTCCTGTAATTGCTGTTCCGAGAATACCGACTAACTTGTCAATCGAAATTTTTTCGTTTTCACTAACCTCTCTGTCACTTTTTTCATGCCTTTATCCATTTTTTGCAGCAATTCCTCTTTTCGTTTGATGGACATCGAAACATGCTTTCGCTTTGTAGATTCTTTGGCAGCTCCAGAATCGGAAACTCTTTTTGACAGAATCGAAAGTTCAAGCTTACTTTTTATAAAACTGCTCTAACATTCTGCAAAAAATAACAAGCCAGATCCAGTTAGAAGATTAAGGAACGACGCAATCTGCAACATTGACTGAAATAGATAATTAGATAATTTTAGCTTAGCTTATACCGTCCGTTATACATTAATCACGCATGCATATGTGCATGCGTAAAGGTATTATGCGCATGCACAGAAAGTTTGTAGCTTTGAGGTCCGGATTATAGATCATTCCGGATTAAAGACTTTGTACTGTATTATAATACTTGTATGTAGGCAATTGGTATTGTAATGGTAGATATAACCATTGATAATAATTGATAAGTGAACCCATTATCAAATTAAAATTTTTTGTTTAAAAGAGTCGGAATTTACTTAAAGTTCTTTTAAATAGTAAAGTTGCATGCTTTTTGTTTCAAAATAATAGACTCTTTATTTCTTTGTATCGCTATAAGGCAATCTGCATTATTAATTTTTCTCCCTGTAGGTTACTGAAATAAAGTTAAAATATTTTGATACTGTTTCTGTTGCATCAGCACTTTGCGTTTTGAAAACAGGTTTCCTGTTTGTTGCTTCAGAATATGGGAATCAGTAAGTAAATATTTTATATGAATTATATGATGCTTTTAAAAGGCACTAAAAAATTGTTAATAATATGTGTAAAGTAAATAATTCATGTTTTAAAAATGGTGAAATGCAAGAACTTTTTTTTTTTTTTTTTAATAAAAGATTTTGTTAATTTTGTTATTGTGTAGCTTTCTAAAACCTTAGAGGTCTGAAAATAGTCATAACTGTATACTGTTTTTACTTCCTTGTGCGAAGTAAAAAGGAAGTATTGTAATCGCGAGACGTTTCAGGCAGCATATTTCAACGAAAATATCCATTTTGACCGCTATCGAATGCAATTTAACGATGTTTTTGCGGGATATCTGTACGTAAGGACAGAGTAAAATACTCTTTTCCTTCAAAAAAATTATATAATATTTAATAATATTATATAATTTTTTAATAAATAATTGTTTAAGATTTATTTCATAATTTTTAATACAGATATTTTGAGTTTTTATGTATGTTTGCCTTGTCGCAAAGTGAGAACTGAATTAATTGAATAAGAAATACTCAATTGTCTGTGAAAAACTGTTTCTTTTTTGTTTTGTTTGCTTAATTTCTTTTATACATCATTCTAGCTTTATTATAGTATTTGAATAGAACATGTGGCAACGATTAGATAATTCTTTAAATGATGTAAATTTTGTGCATTCTGAGTTATAATATGAACGAAATATAATACTGTTAAGTGAACCTAGCACCAGAATGTCGCTATGATAAACAAATAGAATGAATTTTAAAGAATACATTTATTCTACTGTGGTTTATGTGCTGTCGGCAAAGTAGATTTAATTCTATCCAATAAGTTTAAATGAAATGCAAGAAAAATGCGTATAATTTAATATTCCGTACAAGGAAGTCATGTGGTGTACATGTCAGATTTTTTTAATTTGTATATCATTAACTATATGCACATTCTTTACCTGAGGAAATTGAAAACTTTTCTGAAAGATGCTGTATTGGAAAAATCTTAAAAAATAAGGATAAAAAAAAAAAAAGCTAATAATGGACTAAAAAAGGTTTATCCATGGAATATAGCAATTAAGTCACATTGTGCTATTTCTAGGTAAAATTACGTGATCAGTTGCTATGTAAAACTTCTCTCAGTAGCACTTTGGAACATAAAGTCATTATGTTATGTATTGAAAAAACTGTATAAAATAGTTGTTTCAACTTTTATTATCTTTAAAAAAAAAATGAAAGAAAGAAAAGAATTGCTTTTATAATCTCTGAAAATTTAACAATTTTTGAATCATCAGTTTCTTGAAGCTAGAATTTAAAAATATTAGAGGTGTATTTATTACAAAATCATGCTGAACAGCAGAGGTTTTGTTATGCAAAAAAAAACAAAAAAAAAAAAAAAAAAAAATGTGTATATATATATATATATATATGTTAGTGATTCAAATGTATTTTGCAGTGCTGGTTTCAATTTTGAAGTCAGAATTTTGCCATCAGCTCAGTTTCTTATAACAGACCTTTGCCTTTATATTAGAGATAAATCTGGCTGATCTTTATCAACAGTTATATAATTGTCAGTGGATTTCGTTTAAATGAGCTTGTCTATAACCTTAATATACTGATCACACAATTTTTCTAGAAATACTACAAAAATTGGGCTCAAATATTGGCTCTAAGTTTAACGTGATGGAATCTCTTAGAAAAAAACCAAAAGTCTGTGTTTTTCATTAAAAGATATTTAAAAGACATATTGAAAGCATATTCATGATTTAAAGTTTTGAAGCATGAACACATTCCTCAAAAGAGTTTGTTCATAACTTCTTCAAAGGCACGTTTCAAAGTAATTCAGCTGCACTATTCTGCATGCGTAAATCCAAGCAAAATAAGGAAGTTTTACTCAGCAGTATAAGTTACTGTAAACTACCATGGTATGCATGTGGAAATTTGAAAGTAATAGCTCCATCTCATTTGACTACTACTTAAATGCTGATTTGTTTTTTATACAGTTGAGATAGTGGAAACAAAGGAAAACATTACATTAAAAATGACTTTGGCTTGATATGGAGACGTTAATATTAGGGATTTAAAATATAATTTATGATTCCTTATTGCATTCTCAACAAAGTGAATTTGTCAATTGTTTACATCAAAGTACATTTAATGATGATATTTATGAAAGCAGTGTATTGCAAGGGGAGAATTTTTGTTTTTGAAGAATAAAGTTCTTAAAATTGGTGAAGTCAAAATTTAGGAATTTTTTTTATTAATCCTCAAATTATGGAATGAATTAATGTGCGATTCTGCATTTGCAAGTACATTGGATAGTGCTTAATCTGAAACCCAGAGTTATTTAAAAGCATAATGATTGCCACCTTAGATAATTTAATTCTGTAATTTTTGCCAAAATTGGAGAAAACTAGCTAGTGATTTTCTGAACACAGTAAAATACTGGGGTGTAAGGTACATTGCTTAAGATTTATTTCCTAAATATTAAATTTCCAAAGGGAAGAGCTGTAAGTGACTAGTATTAAGAACATTTCTATCAGAATATATATTATAAGTAAGCACATAAAGTAAGAAATTTAGAACTAATTTTTCACAAAGACCAAAAATTGAAATTCTTAAGTAATAAATTTCAAATAATCCTATAAATGCAATAAAGAATTTTAAAATTGTTAAAAGAAAATTAATTTCCTTTAAAATTCCTGAATAGTCTTTTTAAAAAGTCTGGAGTAGTCTACACCCTATAATGCTTTTAAAAAGTATGAATTTTTTTCTGAAAGCTCCGAAAGAGAAGGATGTTTTAAATGGTTTATAGGATTTTATTTTTTTATTTATTTTAATTTTTTCTCTTAATCACTATTCTGTTATTAAAGAAGGTTATTGCTATATTCAAAGTCGTCAAGATAAGCCCATGACATGAAGACTTTTTACTTTTCTAACAATGTTCTTTTTACTTCCTTTTGCCTTTTTCTGTAATTTTAAATAGTAAAAAAAAGCTAAAATTTATAGATTTTTCTACTCAATCTTCAAAATTACAAATTATTAAAAACTTTTTGGCCACATTCTTGTGTTTACTGTCTTTAAAGAATAATTGATTTAAAAATGTAATTAAAGTTTTACCCTGAAGGATATTCTTTATTCCCTTTTTGTTTTAAAAGAGTCAGAACTTACATAAATTTCTTTTAATTAGTAAAGTAATCTTTTTCTTTATCAAAATAAAAAATCTTCATAGAAGTATTGAAAAGTTTTTCTTTTGGTTTCAAAATTCCATTTTTTTGTTCCAGTTTTTAGCCTTTTGAGCGATTACTTTCTCGACAAGGTATTTTAGTTTCACCTGTGAAGCCAAAATGGCAAACTTATACGTTACTACTGTAAGGGTCTTATTCATAGTTTCAATTGTGTTTTAAATTAAAGTGCTTGAAGTTGTTAATTATGTCTTTTGAGTTTTAATTAAGTCTTTTCACTGAAGTTTTGTAATTTCACTTATGTTTTAATTTCTTTGGATCATGTGCCATTTGTGTAAAGATAAAATTTGAATTTGAATTTATCACTGAGATATTTTAATGTTTTATTCTTTCACTTACGTTTTCAATTCCTTAAATAGAATTTTCTTTATTTAAGGTACAAGATTCTAATTAGAATTTTCTTTGTTTTCTCCTTCCTTTGGGGAAGGGACCAGAATTTTCGGGTGAACTATTATGATTAAAATACATTGAAATGGTTCATTGGCTAATTCTGGGTACAGAAAAGCAAGGATTTTTCTAGAAGAGAGATTTCAATCAATTTCAGTGTTCCTCCTCCTGATGACGTGGCATTGAGGTTGATTGAATTCTTATTCTATATTGTTCGTTTTTCTTTAAATTTAATTGTTTTTTTTAATTGGGGTATTGCTCATTCGAAGATTTTTAGTTTTAACATTTTTTTAATTCTTTATTGCACTATAGGATTATTTGAAATTTATTACTTAAGAATTTCAATTTTTGGTCTTTGTGAAAAATTAGTTCTAAATTTCAAACTTTGTCTTTACTGATAATTTTGCAGAGCGAAAAATGATTAGGCATGATTATATTTTGTTTTTAAAAAATTATTTTGTGATTATATAATTCTAGGGTAAATATCATTAATGAAATGGCGGTAAAACAATGGTTTTGTAAAAGCATGAAAAGTCTCTTAAAGTGCTCAAGAGAGAAATTCTGGTTGCTGAATTTAAAAGTAAAAAAATACTATTAAGCTCAATATTTGAAGTGCATAACAAAAAGAATGATTTATATTGTTTTCCTGTGTATCCAGAAGGGCAAAGATTGTAATTCTGCTCAGTGAGCAAGGATATGTACAGGGAGGGAACATAAAAAATCAATCTGACTTTACAGTTTTAGAAATTTAGATCAAGTTTTCAAGAAATTGTTTTTAAAATATATATAGACCTTTCTGCATATGTTGTGTGCTGAATTTCATAGCTGTTGGACTTCATTTACTTTATTATCGTAGATTATGAAAATTAATACAGCATAAGGGTTGATTGTAGATTATCATCTTAGAAGCAAATGTAACAGAAAATTTAAGCAAATTCTGATGTCAGAAAATCTATATATCTAGTTGAGTTTCATGGTTTTGAATCTTTCCATCTCGATGCTATGTTTGACATATACAGATGGACAACCCAAAATCTTTCTTCTATTATTATAGATTACAGGGAATAAATACAACATTAATGGATGAAGGTATTAAATCAAATTTAATATTCAAGAAAAAATAATGTATAGAAACCTATTCTAATCTCATAAAATTTAATACAAATTTTTAATTTGAAATGGTAAATATTTTGCCATATCCTGTGTGAAGATATTTATTTACAACTAAATATTTGGCTATTTTAAATTACTTTTCCCAGTTTTTGAAAATTTAACTCCCTACAAGATGAAAATGATCTTATACTATTAATTTCATTTAACAAGTATGACCTGTTGTCAAAATATTTTATTTGTATTTAATGCAATATCTGCATTATAAATGTTTTGTAGGTATTTTAAATACTGATATTAATTTAGATCAAATATAATACCACAGTAGTACATGAAATAAATATTTCTATAGGAAGAATTCTTTAAATGCATAAAATAAATTTATTGATTAGCTATTTATTGCCTGCTAATTTATGGCTGATAAATGAAAATGTATCTAAGATGTATAATTTTAATCTCATTTATACGCTTTTGATTTTTAATGTTCTTTCTTTATTTTATAGCTACTTATATCAAATATCTCATCTTGGAGATGATGATGATGAACCAGAATTTAGCAGTGCTATGCCACTAGAAGAGGGAGATACGTTTTTCTTTGGCCCTAGAACTTTAAAAAATCTTGTACTTGTAGATGAACTTGAAAGTTTATCCCCTATTATGCATTGTCAGATTGCTGATCTTGAAAAAGAAGACACTCCACAACTGTATGTGGCTTGTGGTAGGGGGCCAAGATCTACGTTAAGGGTTCTGAGACATGGTTTAGAAGTAAGTTGGAAGAAAATATCCACTAATTTTAATTCACTGTTCGATAACATTTCAGAAATTTTATCTTGCTAAATTTGTTTTTGAGAGTTATTTTGCATCAAATGCAAAATGATTATTAAATAATTATTTTATTTTTGTACTTTGCATAAAATATGTAAATAGCTGTGATTTAAAATGATTAAATTTGAATAGGAAAGCTGTAAAGATAGCCTAATGAATGTTTTTCATTGAATCACAAAGTTGCCAATGAAGTTTTAGTTATTCGTGTGTTTTATAGTCCTATAGATGTGCTTGTTACATTTTTGCAAAATACATGAAGTTTATAACCTATTTATTGCTCCAAATTTTTAGATACCAAAGTAGTTTATTATTATACATAAAGTAGATGGTAGTATTTCTTGTAGTAAGACTGTGAAAAACTGATAAACTAATCATTTTTGATTATTTCAAATATGTCAATAAGCATTTAATGCAACAATTATTCAATTAAAAATTAATTTATCAATTATCTCATGAAAGATTATGTTTGCATTTATGCTTAAAATATCCATGATACCTTTTGTAAGGTAATCATTAATTTTATTTTTAAAGCTGTATTATTTTTTAATTAGCTATATTTTTCCAGGTTTCAGAGATGGCTGTCTCAGAACTTCCAGGTAATCCAAATGCTGTTTGGACTGTGAAACGTAAAGCAGATGGTAAGAAAAAGTTAATTTATTTAATATGCATTTATATGTAGAATATATTATAAGTTTATATATGTTTGTGTTTTCTAAATTTATTTTAATGTCTTTTTCAGAGGAATTTGATGCTTTCATCATTGTGTCTTTCGTAAATGCAACTCTTGTTTTATCTATTGGGGAAACTGTTGAAGAAGTCACGGATTCTGGCTTCTTAGGAACTACACCTACTTTAGCCTGTGCACAAATTGGAGATGATGCTTTAGTTCAGGTGTGCTATTATGTGTAGATTTTCAAAGATATGATTAAAGCAAAAGCATTATTTTAAATGTTTAGTGATGTGTAAGCCCATTTCTTATAGGTTTTTAAGTCCCCCCTTAAAGATTGCATTCATACCTATTAGTTCAGTTGAAATTGAAATATTGAGTGATTACAAATGAAAGAATATTGACTGATTACAAACTTGAAAGGAACATATATTTTCATGTGGTTCTGCAGAAAGTAATTGAAAAATGTCTGTGTAAAATATATTTATACAAGTCATTAGAAAAATGAAATAATTGACATTATTTAAATGCATGAAACAATTTTTTTAATGTTTCTGGTAGAAATGTGAGACAAAAATAGCTCTGTACTTTTATTCTAAGTAGTATAATGATATTAATTGTGATTTAAAAACAAATATGAAAAATGAAACAGCTTAACATATTTTATAAAATAGTACCATTTCAGAGATGTAGTGCTCATCTCTTCAATAAAATATCCATTAAATGAAAAAGTTAAAGGTCAGTTATTTAAAAAAGAAAAAAGAAGCAAACCGACCATTTTTAGTGTGATAAAAATTTTATTTCTGTCAGAAATAGTTATATATTTTAATAATCTGGATAATAATATTGATTAACACATAGGAAAAAATTGTAGAGAATGTCTTTTGTAAAAAATTTATCTAATGTATATTCATAATTGTTAATCAGTTTAAAAGTATCAGTATTATCATATCATCATAGTGTTATCATGTTTAAAAACATCAATTAATTTTTGACTCAGTGTATGACAAAAACATTGCTTGATTGCAATTAAAAAGGTGTAACCTATATCTTCCAGTGTATCAGAAACTGAAAGTACATTGAAAAATCTAAAAATTAATTTTATTGAAGAAACATGTGAGAAAAGACATAATTTTAAAACTTTTATTAAATAATCTTGAACAAAACTAGGGGCATAAATATATAAGTTATACTTACAAATTTTAACTGAATGCTTAATTAATGAATTTTTATCTGTGCAATTAATTTTATTAACACTCTCGTGTGAGCTGTTTTGAGGAATGGTAAATTCTGACTGAAGGTTATACATTCAAAAGATATTCTTTAGGGTTCTTTTCTTTGAATGCAAGTTATTTTACACTTTTTAAAACTTCTTTCTATGGTTTCATTTAAAATTGCAAATGTATGGAAAATTTAAAAATTAAATCAAGTTTTTTTAAAATACATATGCATAAGTGTAGACGATTTCAGTCTTATTTTAGGCTTAAAAACTTTGAGAATTTAAGTGCCCCATCATTTATTTAAAGTTGTCTCTTCATAATCAATCCGTTTGCAATTTTATTTTCATTTATTTATTATTTTCTCTTTCAACAAAATAAATGAATAATTTAGAGAAGAAATTACTATAATTTAACCATCCAGAATTGTGAATTACTGTATCCGTTGCATTTGTGAAAAATGATTTGATACAGAGAATGGTATTTCCACAAGTGCTATTTAACCCTTTGAAGGGCACTGGTATATAATATATACCGGTTGTTTGTCAATTTTTTAACCTGGGAAAAAATTATAATTTCTCTACACCAAAAGCTATAATCGTAAGTTTCTAGTGTTTCCTTTCGATTTTAAATGGCACAGCACCACCCTATGGAATGCCTCAATATTTGCAGTTATGAAATTAATATACCTAGTTCCAAGGTATCATGTTTGAAGATTGATAAATTTTATTGGAGGGAGAGAAAAAATTCAAAATCTGTAAATATATGACGTACACATGCTGAACCTTTTATATTTACTGCATTTCAATCAAAACTGATAATTAAAAGAAGATTATGCATTCGTTTTAATAACCGGTATATAATATATACCAGCGCCCCTACTGAGGGTACCTTGCCAATAGATGGCAGCACCAGGCTTCTCCTTCTCTACTGTGAGAGATGACAGCATTTCTTTGCATTATAATAGTTTATGATGTAACAATTTGTTTATGATTAATTTACAAGTTGTTTAGGATTCAGTATTATGTTCATGAAGGGATGGGGAGTTTATTGACCCTGCACTAGGTCTGAATAAAAGTATATTTGTTTCTTTTTATTCTTTTTTTACTCTGCGCGAGTTTCATTCGTCTCTATTGAGCTAAAATTTTAACTTCAGCACGTCATCCTTTCCCAAGAGAAAGACTCATCGATTTCGAAAATTGCCATCTGGGGTCAAAATTTTTCACAATTGTAGCCATTAAATGTGGCATGTTAGTCCCTAAAAGACCCCCTTTGCTTCGTGTTTTCCAAAATCCTAGAATCCAACAAAAATGAAAGGAGGTGATTGACAACTGATTTGTCATTCGGCAGTCAAGCCTTCTTCCCTTTGTGTGATGTGATAAGATCACACAAAGAGAAAGCTCACTTAAAAATACTGGAAATGGAAGTGCACTTAAAGTCTATCTCTTAGTGTAATCACAAAAACTGCTGATTGAAAGCATGCTTTTATTCTTATCGTCTGTGTTAATTTCGGATGAAAGACTAGGGAATGCAAGAGAAATTTAGGGTTAGGTTGGTTTTGAAATCAATTTCACAGTTTGTGAAATGAGGGAAAATATTTCTAAGGCCTGTTTTAGATGCAAGCTAGAAATTATCCAAAAGTTGAAGAGGAGCCCGTAGAAGGCCAAAGGGGTTGAAAATCAAAATAAGAGCTTTCAGGTCTATAAAATAATAAAGTTGTTTAACGGCGTTTCTTCCTGAACAGAAATATATATTACAACCCATATTTACAAAAAATTAAAAAGGGGGGGCCCTTACAGGTTCTCGAAAATCTAAAGTGAGTGTGCGGGGGGAAGGCGATTCTTCGTATCATAGCATGAACCATGGTTTTTTTTACATAATATCTAAAGCATAAAATATGATTTCAAAAATGCAACATACTTTCTCATCCGAGTCCTAGTGTTTCATTTTTTAATTTTTAAAATTTTTGCCTGTTATATCTCCTTGTAATATTATACTAGTTCAGTTACAGCATGATATGATTTACGCATGCAGTGTCATATTTACTAATTTTTTTATAAAATAATAATATTGAATTTAAATCGAGTTCAAAAGCTTTTTACTCATATTTTACATGAGTATGCTTAGCCAGGTTGCATCATCAAAGTGCATAAAAACATAAATTTTACTTTTTAAATTTTAAATTTCTACGAAAATTTTAAACATTTTTGTCTTTAGACATGCATAACTATATTCAAGCACCCATCTCTACAGATGCACATCAAAAGTGGACCGGCTCTCAAAATTTAGGATTTCGCTCTAGAATTTTTTAAAGTCTCAATTTTGTGTCTTTAGGGTCCATAAGTTATAGCTCATGCAAAATTTTACCACAATTTAAATTATTTTATATACCGCCCCTCAAAGGGTTAAAAAAAAAAAAAAAAGTAGAGAGAGAGATTTTATATCATCGATTAAGTTGAAGAGATGTAAGGTATTTTTTAGAATTTTTTAAATAAGATCCCCTTTCCTCTCTCTCTCTTCAAATTTTTAAAAGAGAATATAGTATTCTTTTAATGTCGTTTAACCCCTCACCCAAGACTGACCTGGATTCTTTCAAATGTGTACAGCTGAAATATAAATGAATATTATGGCTAATATATAGTCATTGTACCTCATAAACATAAACATGTCACCAATAAATTTTAATTATTTTTAAATAATGAAAAGGATTCAAAGGATTTTATAGGTCGTTTTTCTCAAAGGAAACAAAGCAAACACAAACATTAAGGGATTGAATATTGCTTTAAATGAATTTAGTGTATTTATTAGTTGCGTTGTTGAGAAATTTAATTCTAAATTTGCTGTTTGCATTCTTGTATTCAGTTTATTAACTATTGTTTTAAGTGACTGGCATTATATATACATCAGTACGTGTTATCAAACAATCTTGTATTTCTTTTCATTTATATGTATATTTTTTAATTTTTTTAAAGATATATCCTGATGGTATTCGTCATATTCCAGCTGATAAAAGAGTCATTGAGTGGCGAACATCTGGGAAAAAAACTATTTCAAAGTGTGCTATTAATCAAAGACAAGTTGTAATTGCATTGACTGGTGGAGAATTAGTTTATTTTGAAATGGATCCTGTGAGTAAGAGTTTTTAATCCCTAGCAGTAATATTACTTTTTTGGGAAAATATATGACTGAAAAAGGCAATTTTTTTGTACTGTTCTGTAATATGCTTAATTCTATTATCTATATAGATTGGATTTTTATTTTTCAGTCTGGTCAACTGAATGAATATTCTGATCGAAAAGCTATGACAGCTGACGTTATCTGTATGGCATTAGCAAGTGTACCAAGTGGAGAACAGCGAGCTCGTTTTCTTGCTGTTGGTCTAATGGATAGCACTGTTCGAATCATATCATTAGATCCTGCTGTAAGTATTTTTAATTTATGGTGAATCTTCGGATTATGGTAACTTGGCGAAAATTTGGCGACCAATCCTGCTACAGCAACCTGCTAGTTTTTTTGGGGGGGGACGCCATTTTGTTTTCATGAAGTAAAAGGCATGTTTTTTTACTCAACAATTTTTTTCCAATCTGTTAGCCGAATTACGCTTATGCTAGAACTTTTTGGAACAAAATGCTTAATCATGACGAAGATTAGGTGCGAAGTTGGGAAAAAGTGCAATCGCCCACTGCTTGCATGCGTTTTTAAGAATTGCACATACGCGGTATCCATGTCACGTCGACCTTTTCACTTAAAAAAATCCCAGAATGCACAAATGGCTTTGCGCACACTCTTGACTTTATCCATGTATCGACCTATTTTCACTTAAAAAGTCAAAGAAAATTAACAAAATCCAATTCTTTTTACTTTGTAAAAGAGCGCCAAACAAAGTGGGCGATTTCTGCATTTTAGCAGCGAAATTGTTTCTAAGTGCTTATTAGCTAAAATACGATCGGAATTTTCCAAAAATGTCACATGGACATCTCATGATCTCTCATTTCTCTGAGACAAATATCTGTGATTCGAACTGTGTACTTCTCAGATTATTGATAAGTCCTACCTAGTAGCCTTTATTGCCTTACCAAAATGTTGCCAAACTACCTGTTACCATATTCCAAAGATTAGCCAAATTTATTTTATATTTTTGTACATGTTAGCCTATTATAGCATTTTTATATGTTCTCAAATATCTGTTTTTTCTTTCTGTGAGATTAAATTTTGGATTATATAGCATATTAAAAAGTAATCGAAATTTTTGTTTAAAGTATTAGATCATTCCAATATTGTGATTATATATGAAATGAATGATTGAAAAAGTCAGTTGGTGACATTCTTACAAAGCATATCTTCACTCAAAGTAATACATACCCCTTCACTGAAGTGCCTCTTTCTTACTGTGTATAGGAAGCAGTTTTGTCCCTTTTTTAAGGGAACTATTTGTTTTGATATGTTAATGCTTTTTTAGCTTTGTTATGACACTGGTGAGTATAGCATGCTAAATCTGGACTGTAACTGGGATGTAGCAGGATGTTTCTTCTGTCTAAAGATGCCTAAAGATAGATGTTGTTTTCCATATTTTCTCAAAACATGCTCGAAACTTCAAAGCTTGAGATATTTTCTTTTTCAAAAACTTTAATGATATCATTTGTTCCATGCTTCCTGCTTTCACTGATCTCGTATGCAACAGACAAAATGGAGCATCCACAGCCAGCCACTGTGCTTCAGGAATCCTCAATCAAAAAGTCTTAACTCGTATCTGAATGCCATAGTGTAAACTTTCAGTGTACTGCCATTAACAGAAATATATTTTACATATTAATTAGCATTAACTCAAATACATTTAACTATATTTTATAACAATTAAATTCTAACCTCCTTAAGGTACTATAAAAAGTTACTTTTTTTTTTTTTTTTTTTTAGTGAAACTTGGCTACACTGTACAAAATATTGAATTTCTGCTATGAAGTACTTAAATTATTTAATATTCTTCTGCTGAAAAACTTATTCAAAAAGTATGATTTGTAAATAATAAAAAAGATTAAAGTTATTTGTGAATAAATTTAGAAATTTTATTTTGTTTTAAAACTTCTTAGTAGTTGGAGTTGTGTGTCAAGCAGAAAATTATTTGATTTTGGTGTTATTAATTAATTAAATATTATTTTACGTTAAAGACAGTTTTTTACTTCACAGAAATAGAGCTTCTTAAAACTTATGCAAATAATTGTTTATTATTATTTGTATAAGAGACATTTCATTTTTTTAACTAACATAAATCTTTCCCCAACTGAAAAAGCTTCTTAAAACTCGCACATAATTGATTTTGTTATTTGTGCTTACATAATAAAAAAAAAAACCTTCGCAGAGTTCCACCATTTATTTGTGCTTACATAATAAAATATAATCTCAGATGACTTTTCTACTACAAGTATAAAATATTATAATAAACCAAGCCATTTATTATATTAGGGGACTGTTTTGATAAACTCTTTCTCAAATGTCAGCATCTAAATGATTTTAATAAATTTTGAATATTTGACTGCATACATCATTCATGTCAATACTAAAAGAGATTTTGGAAATGCTCGCCCTTTCTGCATAACCAAATGCAGTGTTTTGAGTTTGCAAAAGTGGACTTCAAGAGTTCATAACTAATCACTGCAGTTTCATGCCATTGTTGTTTTCCACTTCTTGTTTTGTGTGTAGTTTGTTAGCAATAAGTTCTTCCTTTTAATGCACCCCCACAGGAAAAAAATGATAATATCTTGACCGTAAACTTTTTTAATTTAATCGCCATAAGAAGAAGATTTTTTAATTTCGCTCATGCTGTTAGTCAGTTGGTATCTTGATGATATCAGAACTCCCAATGCCTCTTTTTCTAATCCCCCCCCTTGCTTCCTTGAAACAAACTTCATACATATATGCTTCATGTGTTGTTAAATATTGGCATTTTCTTGTATTTAATACTGAACGAATCAATCTGCACCATCTTGCATCCATTTTCAATAAAAAAGATCATGATTGTCATATATTTTATTACTGTTTCCTTTAATTTTTTTTTCAGTTTCTATAAAAATTTTAAGTACAATGAAACGTTTTGCTACTGAAATAGTTTCTACTTGATTTTTTTTTTTTTTTTTTTTTTTTTTTTTAGTTTTTTTAAAAATTTTTTTTTTTGCTTTTAGTTTTTTACTTTTTTTTTTTTTTTTTTTTTTTTTTTTTTTTTTTTTTTTGTTTCTGTTAAAAATTTTAAGTAGAATGAAACATTTTGCTACTGAAATAGTTTCTACTTGTTTTGTAATCTAAAACCGATGTAAACTGTAAACTACACCCTCTTCAAGTAGATCAAGTTACAGGATTAAAGAGAAGGGCTAGCTCATTCCATTCTCCTCGTCGGCGCAATCCTTGTAGGGGAGTTAACAGGAAGCGGTCTGATGTCACTATGTTGCATCTGCTCTGACTTTGCCTGTTTAAAAATAGCAATAAAGACATCCCAAGTTAGTTTTAATCACATATACTGTTTTTTTAGTAAAGCAGTGTCAAAGTCAAACTGGCAGGCTGCATGTGGCCCTTGAAGTAATTTTATGCTGCCTGTGAATAAATACATTTCTCATAAATTAATTAGCAATATTATGACAAAAATTTGAAGAAAAAGTTTAAGATTTTAATGGTCTGGAGTCCAGTTTTATGTTATATTCATTACCAAAAATGAACGTAACTCTTCAGAAAATCTAGAAATAGAGCTAATTAATGTGCACTACAATAAGCTTATACAAAGGTATTAAGATACAAATTTGATTAACTGTTGTCAAAGGGTAAACATCTGAAGCTACAAAATTTTGCTTATGGCATAAAATAGTCGCTTTGCTTTTGAGTACATTTACATGAGAACCGTTTTTTCATAGTTGAAAATTAATAAGTTTATGAAAAGAACTAGACCGCCAATGAGTATCTACAATTTGTGATAATATTTGTTAGTAATTTCCCTCCAAGATTACTGAAAATCGAAAAGTCTGTGGCAAAACACGAACATGTTTGCAATAATTTACATAAAAATATTTTTTTCTGTCCCACATTATAGAAAAATGTAATAAATAAAAGATAGTAGGTTGTCATTATTTGTTCTCAAGTTTTGTCCCTCTTGGGATGCTTTAGTATATTTCATTTTAGTTTAAATTAAAAGTAAGTTACTTTGTAGTTCAATATATTACTATTAGTTAAATAAATGCCAATCTGAAAATTTTAGCATTTAACTGTCTGTTTGAACTCCAACAACAGCAATTTCTAGCAGATACAAACTTTTAGATTTCGAGCAAAATATGAGTTTGATATTTTTCTTTGCATTATTTTTATTCGTGTGTTTTTACAAATATCTAGTAAAAAATTTGTTATTTAATAATAAAAAAAACATTTTTATTAAAAAAATCAATACCCCCTTTTTTGTGTGTGTCTGTCTGTGTGTATTTGCTGCACATCAGCTACCTTCAAACTGTAATTTTGAGGCCACTGCTGTAAAGTATCGTTTATGTAATATGTCTTCTTACTTCGTAGCAAAGTGCCATAATAATCATGGAAATAAGAAAGATAACTATATTACATTTCATATTTTTCCAAAGGACAATTTGCTTTTGGCAAAAAAAAAAAAAAAAAAAATGATGCATGTCTTAAAGACAGGATTCTATTAATGTGAAAAACACAAGTATTTGCAGCAAACATTTTATATGCAGTGATCGTGAAGATGACCTGAAAAATGGCTTGCTTGGTTTGCCGCAAAAGAAACAGTTAAAGTTCAGTAGTGTGCCGAGAAAAGAAAAATAAAGGAGTGCTTTTGAAAGATTACACGAATTAAATTGGAAGAAAATTCATTTTGATTCTGATTATAAAAATGGGGATAGGAATAATAAATCAAATACGAATGATTCTAAAATAGAACTCGCAAATGATGATGTAAATATTGCTGAAAGCCCTAACTGTAAAAATAAACAAGAATGCATTGATAATTTATAAAAATTAAAGCTAGCTCAGCATTTTAGCTAATTTATAATTGTATAAAACATCAAAGTTATTTCACATAAAAAAGATTTTCCTCCTTTGCCCCATTAAGTAATTCTCTTTTAGATACTGTGAGCAAAGTTGTTTTGTGAAACTTAGACAGCAATCTAGTATTTATTTAAATTTAATGTAAGTGTATAAATATCAGTTAGACAATTACTTTTACAATAATTTTTATTATAGTAAATCGGAAGAGAAACACACCAATGTAAAATTTATAATTAGGTCCAAAAAGCAAAATTTTTAATAAAACTATCAATTTCAAGGAGAGTCAAACATAAGTTCCTCTTCTTTAGTTGCAGAAAACAAAATTACATATATATTCAAAATTGTGCCAAACTAATGTTTTTTTTTGGGGGGGTCTAACTTTAAAAAGCTGTTATTATAATTATCTTAGAAAGAGTAATAGAATTCTCCCACTTAATATGGAGGTGAAGAAAAAAAATGAATGCTATAGTTTTTTTCTTCAAGATTTATTAATAATGCACAGGGAGAAAACCTACAAATTTTAAGAAAACATAGCGTATTTTATCTATTATTTTTAAAATTAATTAATAAGTATTATTAACTTTTTAAATGTTATAAAGGCTTATAATTTGGCTATTTTTTCATGCACAATTTTTGTAAGGCTGTTTTTTCAAATTTAAAACATTTATTTCTTTGCTGCGAATCGCGTGTTTGCCATCAGTGTCAACATGACTACATATCCTTACTTCCTATTTTTTTTTGGGGGGGGAAGCTCTTTGATCTAGCCCTTCTCTTTTGAGTCCTGATCAAGTTAAGTGGTACAACTGAAGATACTTTTATTTTTATTTTTTTAATCTTAAATAAAATCGCAGTGTCAACTATAAAACTGAAACAGTTTTTCAGTATTGTTACAATTTTCCTGATAAAATCATTAAATTTTCTCTACTCATGCATATGTAGCTTTTATAAACTTAATTTAATAATTAAACACTATTAATTATAAATTAATTTTTTAAAGCTTCTCTAAATGATCTTGCATGTGATTTTTATTATTATTGTTGAAAAACAAAAAATTAATTGTATATGTTTTATAACAATCCATTTTAGGATTGTTTGTCACCTCTCAGTATGCAAGCTTTACCAAAAACTCCTGAATCACTTGCTATTGTAGAAATGGGTGGAGGTGAAGGTACTGGCAGAGACAGCAGTGGTCAAGGGACATTATATTTAAATATTGGATTACAGGTAAATTATATGTGTAAAATATGTTTATAGAAACTTTAATGTGGATAAAAGTGTTCTTATATTCTATTTCCTTTGCATTTCTCGTTTAGAATGGTGGTTTGCTGAGAACTGTATTAGATCAAGTTTCTGGAGAACTGACTGATACTAGAACTAGATATCTGGGATCTAAGCCAGTTAAATTATTCAAAGTCCGCATGCAAGGAAACGATGCAGTATGTATGCTTATAATGATATTTGCTTATTTCAAGGATAGATATATGTTAGATAAAAATTAAATAAAATACTAACTTTAATTTGCAATAGGCCCTTAAGTCTTCTTCTAAATTTGGTAATTTCTCCTTGTTCTAAAATAATAACTTCTTATAATAAATCTTTCAAAACTGCATCATTTCAGAATTCACTGTTGTCATGTGGTTCTTAAAAGCAGCAGTGATGTATAATACTTCCGCCAGTCATAATATTCAGCCTTACAAAATGAAACTTAAATTAATCTATCAAAATTAAATCAGCCTTATTGAGACCCTTGAGATATTATCTCTGCATTCCTTTTCTGCTATCACTGCCATAATTACTGCACATATATCATGAAAGTGTAAAAATTGGTGCATTTCAATTTATTATGCACATCAAGAAATAAAATATAAAAAATGTATGTGCCATGATTGTATCTGCTCCTTCATGAATTGGTTTTTATCTTGTATATCAGTGACATCTAAATAATCACATGTATGTTAATGGATTCTAGATTAATTAAATTTAATAAAATTTAATAATTGAGTGACAATTTGTCAATGGTATTATTTCACTTCTATTTGTTTTAATGCCCATGAAATAAAAATTGATCAGTTCTTAAGAGAATTTAAGTAATCAAAAATTTTTCAGCTCTGTTATATACTGTAGAATAAATAATTTATTAGCTCTAGTGTGGATTTGGGTGCCCCTTTGATTAGTGACTTTTAAATTTTGGCGATGAAACCTCACTTCTGGTTGCCATGATAGTTTTAACTTTGTTTTAGCTTCCTGATTTTATTTAATTGTAAATGTATTGATGTGTACATGGACAAATTCAAGGCAGTGCGCAATGCCTAATTTGTGCAATTCTAGGATATTTTTTTTAAGTGAAAACAGATCGATGTATTCATGGACACAGAGTTTGTGCAATTCTTTCACTTCTTATTTTGGTTTTGTGTAGCGGTCATCTTGAAATTGTACCTTCCTGGCACCGATCTTGGCGTCAAAAAAGAATCGCCAAAAAACAAGGGGCACCCAATTGTAAACTTTTACTAATTTATTTCTGTTTAAAAGAATTTCTTATGCATTAGAGAGCATTTATGTGCTTTGCCATAATTGACTAATCCAATCCAATCCATCGTTATGCGTTACAGAGAATTCTTGTAAACAGTTTCCTAAGATATTCCATATTATCAATTTCCTTAGATTCACATCTATCATAGTTAAAGATATGAAAGCCTTCCACTCCGGTAATTGTTTTTCTGAAAATATTTCTTTTTTATCCAAAAATTTATACAAATAACTTTTTATCATTTGAGAACTAATTGTTTTCTTTCAGCATAATGCATAGCTGCCGATTCTCCTTCTTGTTCAATGCATAGCCATTATGATTACATTTTTATATTTTGATTTTGAAAAAGTAAAATTGTTCTATGTAAGAATTATAAAATATAAAATGTATATTGATATAAATTATCTTTATTATCATGCATTTTCAACTTGCAAAAAAATTTCAAAATTGATTTCCATACATAAATGTCACATATTTTGCAGTAAGCATCATGTATAATTTTTTACATCATTCTGTAAATCTATGTTTTGATAAATGAAATTATCAATCATCATACTGAGTAATCAGTTATAAAATTGTTATCTTTTATGGAATATGTATTTTTTTAATTCTAGGATTTATTACTTACTAGCAGCTTCGCTGCCAGCCTTTGTCTGGCTTTTAAATGTACCGGAAAAATGGCTAAAGGGAACACCAAACATTAAATTTAAAAACTGCATAGAATTTTACTCTGCAGAACAACTTCATTAAAAAAAAAGTTATTGTGTATAACAAAATTACAATGAAATCTTAAGCAATATCCCTTAATACGAATATTAATTATCCTAATAAATAAATTAACCAACTTCCCTTTGCAAAATCTTAAGAACTCAAATGGTTTATAAAGGAGGTTAAGAACTTTTTGTTTCCTTAAAAAAATCACTCAAAACTTTTCAATATCTTAAAAACAGTGAAATGAGCGATAATAACATAAAAGAATACAAAAAAAAAAATTCTGAAAAGCAAAGTATAATTAATGATATTTTATCTTATATTTTAAGAGAAAAAAAATTACAATGAAATAAGCTATATCCCTTAATACAAATATAATTATCCTAATAAAAAATTAACCAACTTTTCGTTGAAGAAAAAAAAATCATGCAAAACTATTCAATATCTTACAAACAGTGAAATAAGCAAAACATAACTTGAAAGCAACTCAAAAAACATAAAATTCCGCTCAAAATTTTACTCTGCAGAACAAAAAAATCAGTAAAAATGTATTATATATATATATGACAATGAAATATGGCAATATCTTAAAAACAGTGACATAAGAAATATGATGAAAAATTGTTGCCAAACCCATATTTCTAAAAGAATGAAACTATTCAAATGCGATTTCATCAAAAATCTATCAACAACAATAAGACAGGAAAATTGTTGCCAAAATCACATTTTTAAAGATGTGAGAAGTGTACTCGGAAGTTTCATTTAAAAATTTTTTAAAAAATACAAAATATTATCATTTTTCCAAAATTCTTTTTGTAAAAGCAGTCGCAAGGATGAAAGTTTAACGTGTCCAAAAATCAAAGAAAAATAAGCTGTACATTTTTAAAAATAAACTTTTTTAGAAAAAATCCCGTTGAAAAGGTGTTAAGCTCCCTTTGTTAAATAAATTTCATATTTAAAAATCGATTTATTGAAACACGAAATTTATTTTAAGTTCGTTAAAATAGCTAAGTGCCTACGTTTCATGACGATGTGAAAATGGAGTGTGTAGAGTAAAATCTCGCTTTCCTATGCCCATGTCTCAAAATGACGCGATTTCGTTACAAAACATAAAATTAAAACGTTCTAATTCGAATTTCGAAAAAATCGCTTAGCGGTGCACTGGCTCTTGTCTAAATGCACCTATGTACCAAATTTCGTAGCCGTGGGTCTGTTAGCTTACCCGCAGAGCGAACGAAAGACACACACACAGACAGACTCTCTTTTATTTAATGTAGAGATTTGAAATGTATTTATATATGAAGAGCTGCATATGTTAGTAATGCAGAATGCTATATGTGTTAAAATAATTTCTTTTTATTATTACTTAGGTTGTGGCTATATCTAGTCGTTCTTGGTTAAGTTATTATTATCAGAATAGATTCCATCTCACTCCACTATCGTACGAAACCTTAGAATATGCATCTGGCTTTTCGTCTGAACAATGTCCTGAGGGTATTGTAGCTATTTCTGCTGACACATTGAGGTATGTTACTATACATTTTTAGCACTTTCAACACAACATATAAAATATATAGGTATTTCAGTCATTTCATAATCTTAGGCATCCAAAACTCTTATCTAACTAAGATGTTAGGAGCACAACATTAAATTCTTGGAATATGGTTATTTTTAAAATATTAAACAGCCAAGAAAGATGTCTGAGCACATGATACATAATATAAGCATTAATTTTGACTCAGAATAACCATATGTGGTGTTTTTATTCATTTCTAATTGTGCAGTAAAATGATAATAAATCATACTTTAAAGTTAATCAGAAATTAAATATTAATTAATTTTTATTTTCTGTTTGGAATTCTAACTATTACAGAGTTGCCAACTCTCCCGATCTAGGCGGGAGACTCCCAATTTTCGACTGCTCTCCCGCCAACCCGATTAACAATATATTTCTCCCGACTTTTTCTTATTCTTAAAATTTCTCAAGATTTTTATGCAACTTGGCTTAATACTTTGTTATATGAATTTAAAAAAAAAAGTGCTTTTGGACATCTGAAAGCAATTGAATTTTCTTTACATTATATCTAAAACAAAACCTTGCGAATCAGATAGCTTCTTCTTTGTGAGTGAGAGCATTATACGGATCCAGAAACGTCGTTCTCCAGTTCTCCAATGGGCTTCGAGCTCCACTTCGTGTCAGCTGGCATATATTAGCCAATGAGGACAAAGCAAGTTGTTATTTAGACGTTCTTTAGTTATTTTGTTCATTTTGTCCTGAGTTGTGTGAGTACACGTGTGTGAGTAGGGAAATAGTTTTAGAAATTATCTTTTGTTATGTCTGCGAGAAAGGTGAAATACTCATGTACGTTTCGAAAATCGTACACAGTTGACTTTCCTTCCATTATTTCCTCAAGGAAATGTAATAAATTTGCGATGTGTGCCGCCTGTCGTTGCGATTTTTCGATTTCACATGTTGGAAGGGCGGATATTCTCAAACATGTGCGTACACAAAAACACAAGGATAACATGAGTTGTTTTTACAAAAACGAAAAATTAAATTTTTCTTCGGAAACAACGGACCAAAAAGTTATTAATGCAGAATGTCTGTCCTCTGCCTTTTTACTGGAGCACAACCTGCCACTGAATGCATCGGATCACGCTGCAGCTTTATTTAGAAAAATGTTTCCCGATAGTGAAATCGCTAAGAAATACTCAAGGTGCAAGTATCAAAACAGGTGCAATTGTTAAAGAAATGGGTTTGAAAAATAAATCTTCAGTTATTGATTGCATTAAAACAGCTCCTTTCTGCCTCTCTACGGATGGAAGCAATAATACCGATTCAAAACTGTATCCAATTGTTGTTTCTTTTTTTGATCCAGAGTCTTCAGAAATTGTGTGCAGTTTACTATCCAGAGAAGGACATTTGACAGGCTTTAATATAGCACAGCTAATTATTAAAACTTTAAAAGAAAATGCAGGCCCTCTGGATAATTGCTTAACACTTGGTGCCGATAATGCACCAGTATTGGTAGGCTTCGAAAACTGGTGTTGCAGGCATCTTAAGAAAGGAAAATTCAGATTTTCAGATTATGAGGTGCATCTGTCACCTCTTAAATTTAGCAGCTGAAAAAGGGGCAGCTTCTTTACCAATAAATGTGGATGAACACATTGTTGATAATTATTATTATCGTGAAAGGAGTTCTAAAAGGAAGGAAAAATTGAAACAGTTCCAACAGCTGCATAACAGCAGTTTACAATTAGAAAACTTGGATGAAGTTATAAAATCAGATTGACACCCAGTGGAGTTTAATTGGAAACTGAAAGGTGCTGATGAAATTTTAAAATATAGTGAACTGTCTAGAATTGTGTTGGCCATCTTGACAGTTCCCCGTAGTAATGCAGAGTGTGAGAGGATTCTTAGTGTTGTGAAAATGAGGACTAAATTTAGATCTAATATTAGTGATGACACATTAGAAAAACTTTTATTAGCGAAAGCAGGCCTACATGGCAATTGCTGTGAACAAAATTATGAAGTTTCTTTCTTAAAGAAAGCAAAATCTGCCACTGTGTATAACATTTGTACGAAAACTGATTAAAGTTTCTTGTTTTTTTTTTTTTTTTTTCCCTTAAATGATGCAAGTAATAAAAGTGCTTTTTATGTGTAAGGTATTTTTGTGTTGCTTGCATTTAAGAATTAGTTACTATTTAAAGTTAATTCATTATTAAAAACTATATTTTATCATTTAAAAAGTCTTTTTAACATTGTGAAAAATCTCCTGATTTCTTAAAAAAATCTCCTGATTTTTGAGTGTCATAAGTTGGCAAGTATGCTATTATATTGTATGATATATAAATTAGAATATACTGTGGTAATATGAAAATTCTATGTATATTTTTTGAAGTTATAATTTGCATACTTTAATCTTTAAATGACACTCTTGTTTTTAATACAGATTTTTATCCCTTTATTTACTAGAATTTTAGCTCTTGAAAAACTTGGAGCTGTGTTTAATCAGGTAGCCATGCCATTAGAGTATACACCAAGGAAATTTGTAATCCACCCAGAGAGTAATAATCTCATAATTATTGAAACTGACCACAATGCTTATACAGAAAAGACCAAAGGAATCAGAAAGAGCCAGATGGCTGAGGTAATTATTTTTTTTCAATTAATTAATTTTAAGCTTGACTACTTTAGAGTTTGATAGATTTATATTAATTTATTGTCTATATGTAGCTTCTAAGCTGTATTTTTATTAAGTCTGCACCAGGTCATGAATACAGATACATAATTAGCTTGTTTTCCATTCCAGGAAATGGTTGAAGCAGCAGGAGAGGAAGAGCAGGAGCTAGCTGCTGATATGGCTGCTTCATTTTTAAGTGAAAATTTGCCTGAAAATATATTTGGTTCCCCAAAAGGAGGATCTGGTATGTGGGCATCTATCATAAGAATTTTGGATCCAATAGAAGGGAAAACTGTCTTTAAAGTTCCATTAGAACAAAATGAAGCTGCATTTAGGTAAATTATTATTATTATTATTATAGCCTTACATTTTCAACATATTTAATAAATACTTTTTAATGAATTCAAAAAAGAAAAATGTGTGCACATTTATATGGTATTTTGTAACACCAAAAGCATTTTGCAATTTTTTTTTTGCATTATTGGTTCATTGCCTTTTTGGGGGGCAGGGGGTACTTTTTGCATTATTTTGTTTTCAAAGGGAATGTAATACTTTTAGTATTTATCCAGCATTAGTTAAGTATGCTCATACTTTATTGAAATAAGAATTTAGTGACCATTTTTTAATAAGATGTTGCATTTTTAAAGTAAGTGTTATTCCATATTATTTCCATTCTTTAAATTATAATATCTAATGCATTAAAACAATCTTTTATCTTTTATAGTCTGTGTTTAGTGAAATTTGCAAGTCAAGGTGATGATCAGTTTCTTCTTGTTGGTATAGCAAAAGATATGCAGCTAAATGTCCGCCATTGTAATGGTGGAATAGTGCATACGTACAAAGTGTTAAATGAAGGTAAAAAACTTGAACTTGTACATAAAACTCCTGTTGATGAAGTGCCTGCTGCCATTTGTCCTTTCCAAGGAAGAGTCTTAATTGGTGTTGGAAGTATGTTAAGAATATATGATATTGGAAAAAAGAAATTGCTCAGAAAGTGTGAAAATAAGGTATACATTCTTTGTCAAATTTTTTCTTTATGAATGTATAGCAATATGAATATTTGTTGCTTTGCATAAGTTCAGTTTATGGCAGTTAAGTTGTATAAAAGACCTAAATTATTATCTTTCTCGGATAACAAAATATCATTTAGTGTTTCTTTCATTATTAACATTAAATTAAATTAACAAGTAATACTGAGTATATTGAAAAGTATTTCAGGTTTGGGATTTTATTTTCTATCATTCTTGTTCAAGTATTTTGAAATTTAGTATGTTTTTAAAATTTAATGTCAAGTTAAAAAAGTGTATTATTGCTTCTAGTAAAGTGAAGACATTCAAAGGATTAAAAAAAAAATAATTTGATAAATTCAACTTCAGGGTAATTCTTTTTTTATTTAAAAAACTCTTAAAACTATTCTGAAAAATAAAAATTAGAAGTTTTCTGTAAAACCAGGATCAATCTAAGGTCAAATGTTACCTTATTTTAATACAATGTTTCTGTTACATATATACTGTGATAAATTTTTCAATCCTGTGGGTTGTCATTTTAGTAAAATTTAGTTGTATTTTTGTTATTTTCAATTGTTTGTTATTTATAGATAAACCTAACTGGAATTTATATTTTTAATAGCATTTGCCTAACCAAATTGTTACAATTCATGCTGTCGGAAATCGCATCATAGTTGGTGATATTCAAGAAAGCTTTTTCTATGTAAGGTATAAAAGACAAGACAACCAGCTAATTATTTTTGCTGATGACACTAATCCAAGATGGATAACAACAGCTTGCCTTTTAGATTGTAATACTGCTGCAGGTGCTGATAAGTTTGGAAATATATCTATAGTAAGTACTTTTGTTTAATACTTAATATGATGTTGTGGTAAGGGAAAGCTTTATGGTTTTTATATTCTGTATTTAAAAATAACTATAGCCTTTGAAACCTGTTTTGTTTTTGTATTTAGAATAATTTATAAGTATAATTTTTGCATTGAGTAGAAAGTTGCTTAATCTATTATTTTAACTTAATATGGGCTATATCAGTGAAGTCGAAGATCTAAATTTATATTGTTCAAAGTAATAGTATTTGTTTTTCATCACCATGCTCTAACATTTTTTTGAACTTGATTTTATGCTGGGTTTTCTCTTCATGTTGTTTGTATCCTGGCAGATTTGAAAGTTAATTTCATGTATCAATCAACCTATGTAGGTGCTGTTGGTATTTTTGGAACACTTTTCTGTCAGACTGAATATTTTTTGCATTATGTTATTGTTTCTCATTTCATAGTTATCATTATAATACTAAAAAAAGGTGCTTTAAGAATAACTTTCCCTTCTACAGATAAGGCTACCTACTGCTATTAGCGATGAGGTAGAGGAAGATCCCACTGGCGTAAAAGCTTTGTGGGACAGAGGATGGTTGGGTGGATCTTCTCAAAAGGTAATTTTGTGCTATTACTTTAAAAAAAAAAAAATTGTTTTAAGTTTCAGAATTCACATAAGTATCCATTTTAAATTAACTTGAAACATTATTTTGTCCTTGAAAGAAAATACGCATTTTTGATCATTTTCTCAGAATACAAGCCTAAGTTGCATGATATTTATTGAATTTATATAGGAAGTAATATTTTATGATTTGTTTTATATGAATGAATGCTACCTGAGACCTTGTGTATCATCTATTTTTTTGCTTTATTGAATAAAAATTACTTTGATTACCAATTTTGCAATTACAGATTGCATATAAAAAAATAATTCTACGAAATGGGAAATATATTCTTATCATTAAATCTAAATAATTTCTTAAACCAGTAATTTGATATTGAATGAAATTCATATCCTCTTTTTGTTTTACGTAGATGATAATTTGAGTGTTTGCCAGTGAACTTTAGAAATTGAAAAAGCTGTGCTGTTGATTTGCATTAATTTAACATATCTAATGCATTTGAAATAATCTGACATAGATCTCTGTTCTCCACCATCATCCCCCTTTCTAAAGTAAAATATTCGCAGCAATATATTTTTCTTTGATGATTTCTGCTGCTAAAAATGAAAACCCTAAGAAAGAACTTTTATGAACAAATTCCTTTTGATTTCTAATGGAAAAATTTTTTCATATAATCTAAAGTTGCCATTAATTTGGAAAATGAGATTTTAAAATTTGCAATTTTTGACTTCATATTTTTTTTTCTTCTTAAATGCTATTTAAATGTTACAGCAAAGCAACAAGCTTCCTTATGCTTGTTACTCTGAGATTTACTGTTGTCTTTAATTTATACTTTTGTTATGTTTGATATGGCAAAAGAATTTTTACACAAGTAATTTGTAAGTTTTCAAAGGCTAAAATATGTTTTTAATATTCTCTTGAAATTTTGTTACTTTAGATTCATAATCTCATAATCATGGAAAAAACTCCTTAAATTGCAAATACTTTTCATTTTTAATTAATGTTAATAATAATATGAGTTATTTGCATGTCAACTCAAGTTAGTTCCCTGCCAGTGTTTTTTTTTTTTTTTTTTTTTTTTTTTTTTCCTGAAACACGATTTCTGAAAGATTTCCATTTTCAAGAAAATCATACTCTTCAGTACTCATAATAATTTGTGTAGAAATACTCATGATTTAATTTCTTAACATCAGAAATCTTCTTCTAAACTGATATTTTATTTTTAGTTCAATTGAGTAATTTCTAATTTTGCAGAATTTATTATGATACTCCTTTTAATGTTTCTGATTTAGTTGCACTTGATTTTTGTTGTAAGTGATGAAAATTTCTTTCATTGGTTTCATTTTTTGATTGATTATGTTAACAGTAATATTTTTCATGGAATACAAATACTTGTCATGTCATTCGGTTAACAAATTACTTCTCTTTGCAGGCAGAAATAATTGCTAACTTTCATGTAGGAGAAACTGTGCTTTCTTTACAAAAAGCTACTTTAATTCCTGGAGGTTCAGAATCTTTAGTATATACTACCCTTTCTGGATCCATAGGTGTTCTAGTTCCATTTACAACTCACGAAGTAAGTATCTATAATTTGTTTCTTAATCTAACTAGCAGTAATTTTTTTAAAACAATGTGAAATTTTTTAATACTTTTCCCTCTCTTTAATTTTTATTTCTAGGATCATGACTTTTTCCAACATTTAGAAATGCACATGCGATCCGAAAACCCTCCACTGTGTGGCCGAGATCATTTGTCCTTCCGCTCCTATTACTATTCTGTGAAGGTAAGTTATGTGGAATTATGAAATAAAAGTCTAAATGAAAAGCTCTGTTTATTAGAAAGTTGAATCTAATCAATTTCATAAGTATTATAGCTATAGTTCAACTTTAGTTGGCACTTAGTTGAAATTCTTCATAGTCTTTATTATATTTTTAGTACAATAATGTGGTACGAGAAATGTTCTGTGAATATCAAACAGGTAAATGGGCTGGCTGCATTAGTATTTTGATGATTTTTCTTAACTTGAGCACAAGCCAGATTCTTTTAGAAAATCCTCTATGAAGGCATCCTTTTCCTTAGGAAAATATTGTTACAGTGTTTTCCCATAATCCAGTTGTGAATATTTACTAATGAGGTTCAAGGAATCTAAAGGGAAGGATGTTTGTGTTTGTTGTAATTATAGTGTACATAAAATATACAAATTATTATGCATAAAATATGACATTAAATTATTCATAAAAATATTTTAAAAAGAAACTGTCATTAAAGCCATGTTATTGGATCAAAATACCTTTCACTGCATTACAAGATAATGGTCATCTTTAAAAATCTGTTCAACATTCAACCTATAATGGCAGAAGCAAATTTATGCAGCTGCTTATGTCACAATAACAAGGCATGGTATCTGTAATATGCTACAAAGTCATTGACTATTTTTGGAAACAGTAAACATACCCTGTACAGTCAAAAGTCTTTAATCCGAAAGGATCTATAATCCCGAACTCAAAGCTACAAACTTTCAGCGCATGTGTAAACACATTATGCATTTACGCATGTGCATATATTTATGCATGCGCGTTTAATTAACAGACAGTATAACAGACAGTATTAGTAGACAGTTAACAGACAGTATAAGCTAAGCTAAAATTATCTAATTATCTATTTCAGTTAATGTTGCAGATTGCGTTGTTCCTTAATCTTGGATTGGATCCGGCTTATTATTTTTTGCAGACTGTTAGAGCAATTTTATAAAAGTAAGCTTGAACTTTCGATTATGTCAAAAAAAATTTCCAATTCTGGAGCTGCCAAAGGATCTACAAAGCGAAAGCATGTTTCGATGTCCATCAAACAAAAAGTGGAATTGCTCCAAAAAATGGATAAAGGCATATCCCTTTGTTTCTCTAACCATTCCGAAATCTGTTTATCAATTTCACGCTGCTCTGCAGGGGAGGGACGTCGCGGCACGCAATGAACTGGAATTTTATAATTTCTTATATTTTTAGTTTTATAATTTCTGCATGCCATCTTACCAGATTTAAATTGATCTATAATTAATTTAAATGATCTATAATCTGGAAAAACCGATAATCTGGAATCGCCGAAGTCCCAATGAGTCCAGATTAAAGACTTTTGACTGTATTTAAAAATGAGCCCCTTCAAAAAAATCTGTCAATGTGTAAATTTTTAAAATCTTGCCCCTATTATTGCTCAGTCTTTGATAGATATTACCAATGGATGTGTCACCATTCACAGGTTGGTTAATTCTTTTTCATCATTTAAATTTAATCTTTTTTTCTTTTTCCTAATGCTCTTCCTTCCTGTAAATATTCATACATTTATATTACAGATTTTCATCAGCCAATTTTCGAACATAACGAGATGTTGGTTCATTTAGATATAAATCGGATGTATGAAAAAATGTGTTAGGAATTTATTCTTTCTCCTACGTTTTCTTTAGTTTTATAACATTCATTTATTTTTTCCCAAAGCAGCTTGTAATACAACAATTTTAAAAAGTATATCTATCAATCTTCTGTCAGACTAGTTTTAACTGCTACTGAATTCAAAAATCAAAAGTTGTTATGTTGGAAATAAATTACACTGATATGAAAAATGGGTCATGTGGCACTCTTCATAAATTACTTTAAAAACTAGATAAATGTATTTTATTGGAAAACATGAGTAGCATAATATGGAATTTTATTTCCATTATGGTTATAATTTGTATTATTTTTTCCACCAGAATGTAATTGATGGAGATTTGTGTGAACAGTTTAATTCGTTAGAGCCATCAAAACAGGAAAGTATTGCTGTGGATTTGGATAAAGGTCCTAGTGAAGTAAGTTTATTTAAATTTAGCATTGCTGACTATTTTATATGTGCATGTTGTGTATGTATATATTATTATATATATACACACACTCACACACATATGACGAAGAATCTCCCATTTGATATGGTCATTTTCTGTCTGAGCAGTAAAGTTATTGAACACTGATAGGTTTGGTCCGGGGTTTCATTCTTGATCATGACTATCATAATTTCCAAAAATATCTTTAAGTAATGATAATTATGTACCACAACAAAAAAAGGCCATCAGCAGCCAAATATTAAGAGCATTGGTAATCCAGCTGAGGTTTAAATCCTAGTAAATGAGCTGACTGTATAAGAGTTTTTTGTGGTTTTCCACGTGCGTAACATGAATGCAAACTAGTTTCCTTTAAAATGCTGTCCCTGAAAGTATCCCTTCCCTTAAGCAAATAGGCCTCTTGTGCTTTGCTTTAATCTAAATAATCCAACCTATGACAAAAAAGCTTTATTAGTAGCTTTAATGTATTTTTAATCAAAATAAGATTAGCACATTAACATTAAAAATAATATACATTTTATCCTTTCAGGAGGCACTTTTTTGCATGTTTGTAACTTTTGTTTAAATATATTTAATTCTTATAATTTATAATTCTTTCTTAGTTTGTTGTAGTGCTAAATAATTGGTAGCACTCTTAAAAAAAATTTTCTGCTACTACAAAGCTCATCCAGAAAGCAAGTACCATTTGGGTATTAAAAACGTTTAGCAATTTGTTTTCATTTGTATTTTTATTACAAAAAATCTACACACCTTAAACTACTTTTCAGCATTTTCACCATGCAAATTAAAGCATGTGTGATATCTTGGCACTAGTTGCAGCATACGTGCTTCGTAGAATTTAGCTGCCTGTGACCTGAACTAGTTCTTGATGTTTACTTTGATCACATTATCATTTGCAAACTACTGACCAACAAAACATTTCTTGAGATGAAAAAACAAATGGAAGTCGGATGAAGCTGACAGAATTTTTCCCTATAAAATGAATCAAGTAGAGTCATCCTAATGCATGTGACAGGCGGTCGTGCATTGTCATGCACAAACACAATACCAGAAGTCAGTAGTCCACACCTTTTGTTCTGTATCATATGTTGTAACTTCTTTAGTATCTCACAGTAAGCTGTAGCGTTGGTTATTGTGCCTTATCCCATCCATTCTGCTAACAAAATTCCTTAACAACACCAAAACATGGTGCACATGATTTTTCTTGAAGAAGGAGGTGGCTTTGCTTTCTTGGGTTTCAGGAAAGAGGCATGCTACCATTCCAGTGATTGTCGTTTTATTTCAGGTGTCTCGAATCAAATCCATGTTCCATCACCTGCGACAATCCTTTTAAAAAAACTATTTCCTAATTGCTTCAAAAACTTCAAGGCTGCTTTCATGCTTTTCTGCTTTTGAAAGGTTGTTAATGTTTTTGGTGCAAATGTTCATTTACAATTCCGTGTAATAGAAATTTTGAAATGTTTTGAAAATGCACCGACTAATTAGAAATCATGAATCATCTATTGGCATGAACTTTTTCATTGATGCAACACATCAATTTTTCAGTAATCAATGGCTGGTGTCCACTGCTGTCCTCGCCATGGACAGTTTCCTTTGTTTCGTTATATATCTTAACCCTTTTTTACACCATACTTTCACTCATTGCATTCTCTCCGTAAGTTTCACTTATTTGATGATGAATTTCTCAAGACTGAACAATTCTTGCATTCAAAAACTTAATAATGGCTCTTATTTCACAGCTGGCTGGCCAACTGATTATTTTAAACATGATTACTGACAAAGAGTAATTTCAGACATTGTAAACAAAATGGGTGGTCTAATTTGTTCTTGAGTTGAAAATGAAACTATGTCTGTGTGACCTTCATGCTGTCAGGAGATATGCATAAATGGTTCTTTACTCTCTGGATGACTTTAGTATGTATGTATTGACAAATTCTTAAAATGCTATACAAAAAGTGGAGATTCTGAAGAGCCTAATGTTAACTTTTTTTTAAAGAATTTTTAATGAAAACCATGAAATTTTTTCACTTTTAATTGGAATATCAGTTTTAATGTAGGGTATTGATGATTCATTGTGCCTTATCTGCTAAAACATTGTACATATTTTTTAACATGAACAGAACATACAGAATTAAAAATAAGAAATTATTTAGTGATTTTAGTCTGCAGGAGGAAAAAAACATCAAAAGCTTCCCCTCCTTGACATTTACAATATACTGGAAATGTTTACTGCAAGTGGTTTTTTTTTTTTTTTTTTTTTTTCCTTTGCTTGCATGCACATGCACATGCACACATGTACTTGGAGAAAATGATTGTAATGTTACTTTTTTTTTTTTCCCCCTCTTTTTAGGTGTCAAAGAAATTGGAAGAAAATAGGACAAGATATGCTTTCTAAACAGTGCATTTTTTTAATGTTTTTCATTATAGGTATCACATATGTAAATAAGCTTTTAATCATTTTCCATCAAAATTGTGGTTACATATTGCCATGATAAAATAAAATGATTTTCTATAAATAATTGATTGTGTGAAATTATTCAATACATCTATTAATTTGAAAGCGAAATGCTCAATGAATTTCATTCTCTCAAAGCAAGTTGAAAAGAAACTATTGCTTCCCATAAATAAAAGACTTTTCAGAAGAGCAAGAAGCTGAAACAAGGGTTGCTGAAGAAATTCAGCACCTGAAACGCTTGAGTGAAGCTTTTAATGTGTTTTCCAAATGAACAGGATATTAAATATCAAAATGAACTGTGAATTGAAATCCATTTATTGTCTGTCAGAGCACAACATTCAACCTTGTCAGCAGAAAAATATAAAACGTTTATTAAGTGATATCTGTCATCACTGAAAGAAAAATTTTAATTAATGCTCTGAGTGGAATTCTGGTACAATTTAAAAGATGAGTGTCCTCAACTATCACATAAGGCCATATTGGTGTTTTTACCATTTACAACTGCACATGTGAAACAGGGTTCTCACTTATGCATCAATAAACAATTCATAACCATGACAGAATTAATGTGAACCTGACATGAGAATTCAATTTTCATTCTTAAAGTATAATATTAAGTAATCGTTATATATGAAGTATGTATGCAATGTAAAAAAAAGCAAACATCTCATTAAAATTTAAAAGTTCTTTTGAATACGTAATGGTACTCATGTATTAGCATAACCACCTTGCCGCAGTTCAGCGATTTTTTACAGAAATGAAGTAATTCAGTGAATTTTCAGATTGCAACTGGAATTTTAAAATAATAAATATTTGCATAGTTGCCAGAGTTTGGCAATTTCTACTATGGTAGCTGCATGTAAATACCTACTTTATTTAAAGAACTTTGGGGTTATTTTTGAAGGAAATAAATATTATTTGAAATAATTATCATTTTTGTTGGAAATAATCTGTTTATGGAATGTTGCATTAAAACCAAATTCTTTAAACAAATCAGGATTTATATGATGAAAGTGGACTTTAAAGAGGGTTTCACTTATCAAAAATATTTAAAAACACTGATCTTGAATAATAATTCTCATTTTTTTGTGCTTCTTTTTTCCCAAAAAATGTATATGCAACTAGAGGGCTTTTTGCATAGAGACATGCAACTCAAGTTATGAGCATAGGAAAACAGTGGGACTAGAAACATAAACATATACATTCAATTTTATATCCATAGATTATATATATTGATAAACAAAAAAATAAATAATATTAACAAATCTTGAAAGTTTGAAGCACCTTATTAGGTAGTTAAGAGACGTGCTTCTACAGCTCGCTAGTGACTAGGACTATCTTGCAAGGTAGAGTCACAAGCCTGTTCCAATGTTTCTTTTCTGAAAAACAATCGGTGATGGAAACAGTTTTTCAGTTTCATTACAACTTTGTTACTTTTTGATCTTGCAACTTCTTCCAAGCAATATGCATACTGCATGTTGAGAATTAATTATGTGAATTCACACACACAAGTGATAGTAACATATATTATAGAAAAAAGATTAAGTTAGCTGTTCATTTGTAAATTATTTATTTTTAAATTTTCTAAAACAATGTAAAAACTATTATACATGCTATAGCTTTTTCAAAACTTGGTATCATATACATGAATACAAATTTTGCAATTACAAAAATTATCATCCTTTCCCAAATATAAGATGGTCAATTTGATCTATTGAGATAATATGCTTTAATATATAGTTAAGAAGAAATTATAAATTATATCAATATACTTTTTAAAATCTTAGCACATTTAACATGAGAATTTTCCAGAAAACATTTTAAGGAGAAAAGACATTCTTATATTTGGGTCCACATAGACTCCAAGAGTTTAAAATTTGCATGCTCAGGGTCAAAAATAGAAACTTTATAATTACTTAAGGCACTTAGTAAATACATATTTAATTTCTTTTGCAGATTTATTTTAAGCTAAACTTTCAAAATCCTCTTCCAGTGAATAAAATCTGTTTTCACTTTTTGCTGCATCTATTATCCTTCTAAGCAGTACTTTCTTATTTCAAATACACATCTTATTGGAGAAGAGTTCTGTGACTAACATAAATACTGATATTAATACTTACTGTCTAGTGTTTCCACTAACTTGAAATATATCCTTTGCAAGATTTGGCAAAAAGAACCAACTTTTTCACATCAAGTTAATTACCAATATACTGCTTTCCTATATAATATGACTGTAATTAATCTATCATACATCAGATAGTCATCATAATCATATGCTTAGTGAAATACATAATGTAAACCTACCTAAAATTTTCACCTAAATATTATGTTCATTGAAAATGGCCTTGCTGCATTATCTTGAAAATGTTTAAAACAGATCACCTTTAATAATATACAAATATCACATAGTTCTAGTAGAAGCAAACAAGCCAGCTTGTATGTTCACATGCTTTCACTGTCAAAATTGTCATGTTTCAACCGCAGTAGTCCAAAAACATAATATAATTTCATAAAGAGGAATGTGAGAAGCAGCTCAAAGGCAACATGGTTAACTGAAAAAAGAGGCATGAATTATAAAATATGGTTCCAATATAATGAGCATTATTTTTTTAAAAAAAAATAAGAGGATTGTCATATAAATACAGAAGTGACTTTCTTTCTCTAGCTACAGTTATTTTAAAGTTTCTTATAAGACTGGTAAAAACAAATAGTTAAATTACATGGCAGTAAAATCATTTCATATCCACTGTGGAATTTAAATAAATTGCTAAGTTTATTATAATCACACTTTTTGCCTGATGATGAAGTATAAAAAATATATCATTGATAAAGTTTCAAGTGCAATAAATATTAAGTCTCATAAGCTCTACAAAAGCTTTTACACATTTTGTGCTCTTTTGATCATGTATTGAAACACCAGCCCAATATGGGCCATAAATTTATTTCACTAGTACAATAATGCACTGACTGAAATAATACTTCAGATATCTGTAGACAAGTCTTGCTGTGCCAATGTCAGTATAGCTTAGAAATGTGCATTACTGATATACACTTCATGGAAGTAATTATCAGATGATTTTGCCTCTGTTCCATCATTCCTTCCCTGATGCAGAATTCCGAGGTAATGAATGAAATGCCATTTTGAGATCATTGTTACCTTTTCTTTGCATTGATAAACATGCATAAACGAGCACTATTAATTTTATTTCATGTTTCTTCTGTCCTTTCTTCATTGGGTAAAATCTGTGGGTAGTTAACATATGTAACATTTAGCCCTACGGTCCGTTGTTTGCTTTTTCTTTGCAATTTTGTGATGACTCCTTGAACTTCTTCTTCCAACTCCACAAACGTTGGACGCTTTTTACTATCTTCCATCCAGCATTTGAGCATAATTTCGTACCTGCAACAGAAATAATATTCACTGAAATATAAATCATAAACAATCTACTAAAAAGTGTAATGTATAATAGCTCTCTCCTACTGCTGACCCTCCAAAATGCAACTCCAGGAAGGAATGCAACTAAGCAGCATGAAACTTACATCATCTGTATACCGCAATGGAATATGAAAATGATTATGATTTCAGTGCATGCGCACATCATTCAGTGCAGCGCTTCTTACAATCTGTTTGTAAGGGAAGGAAAGATTGTCGTTTTGAATGCCATCTTCTATTCTGTCCTCCTGGACACACTTTTCTGCACTCATTCTACTCCAAGCGCCCTTCTATAGCACAGGAAGTTCTGACAGTTGTAATATAGCATGAATTACTCATGTGAATCTCAGCAGAAGTTGGAGATGGAGAGCCATTTTGAATAACATGAATTGTTTGTTTGTGTGTGTGTGTGTGTAATTATACCTCTTATTAAAATCAGCTTCATTATACCTCATAGAAAAATATGAGCATTATTCGATTGCGTTTCTGTGTTTGACTAAGGTAAAATACAAATACAACAAATAGTTTCCCGGAAGGATAATTCACATACAAAGATTGTGGATTATCCTTCCGGAAAACTGGTCATCGTGCGGAGGTAGTCATGATGCAACAGTCATGCGAATATAGAATCGGTGGATGCAGAAGGGAACCACTGATGGACAGGAGCAATTGCAACCACTTCACCACAGTATTCCATGAGTAGATAGGCATATTGTGTGTAAGGCACTGATGGAGCGCCCTGCCACATCCGCAACCATATCACAATGAATGCAGTATGTAACACAGCAATTTGTGTTTACAACACAATGGACTGTTCGCTAAGCGTCCATTACTTCTTACATTTAATTTAAAATTGAAGGCGTCTACATTTAAATCGGTGCACTGAATGCCGCAGATGGATATCTGAATTGTCTTTTGGATATCGTGTTCTTGAACGAATCTTGCTTTTGCTTGCAGTACCACAAGGTCGTATTAAAGTCTGGAGATGCCATGGGAAAATGCTACTCGACTGCTGTAATATGCATCATCATGCTAATCCTGCACTCAGTGTTAGGCTGTGGGGTGGTACTGGATTTCACTCCCACACGCAGTTCGCATTATCGGTACATTTACCAGCCAATCCTATCCTCTTCCTTACCTTCAGGGCTTCCCTGTGGCTCAACAGGACAATACGCGACCACACGTTGTACGCAATATTCAAGCTTCTTCTCAGCCCACCATATTGCATTGTGATCCTAGTCTGCCCATTCTCCATTACTGCCCATCGAACAAGTCTGGCAAATGCCTGGTCCAGCATGTTGCACCCGCAGGTACATCAGATGAACTTTGGCTCCGTGTGGAGGCAGCATGAGCTGCCATTTCCCAGCAACACATCCAGAACGTCTTTCACTCAACGTCGCGACGTGTAGCATCGGTTTTCCACAAACATGGAGGCAACACTTATTACTGATTTTCTCGTTTTCCTCACTTCAAAGAAGGCTAATTTCAAATCAGTTAACAATGATACTAAGTCTAATCTCTGAAATAAATTTGGCTTTGATATCTCATGTCCTTCTTCGTGTTGCTTTTGAATGGTCAGCAGTTTATTTGAATAAAGTGTATGATAAAAAAGGTAAAATTTTAAAATAAACAACCAGATTTTTTAGATTACAAAATTTTTTAAACAGATTTTGTCATTTGCACACCTACTGGATTACTCAACTTTGAAAATCAAAATGAGATATTAGCAAGGAACAAAAATTTAATTTTCATTAGCTCATAAAATTTCATTGTATTGGGGAAGAAAGGAAATTATTAGAATATTTTTGCCTTTTACTTCCAGCTCTGAACAAATAAAATTGATTAATGTTCGAGGAGATTAGAATAACCTGGCATAGTAACAAATAAATTAAGATTTGTTTTACAATGTTAATATGTTTTCACTGATTATAAATGATATAGCTGTAATAATAAGTATTAGATACTTTACATAAACTAATAAATAAAAGCAGTTAGTAATATTATAAAATATAATTTTTGGTTTCTTGACTGTGTATGCACAGCATATGAAAGGAAAGAATAAAGATTCAAATTTATGTGATGCATCAACTTCAATTTGTAAGTTTTTATCTCATAAGTTTGGGTCTGAAGCTCAAGCATTCATACCATTTTTTTAAATGCATTGGCTCAAATTAAAGCTGTGTAAATAAAAACTAAATTTTACTAATTAATAAGTTAGTAGTAATTAATTATACTTACAGGAGATCGGGACAATATGATGGTTGTGGCATTCTCCGACCAGATTTTAAGTAATGAAGAATATCCCAGTTGTCCACATCAGGATAAGGTGTTACACCCCTTGTCATGAGTTCCCATAATACAACTCCATATGACCACTAAAAAGAAATAATAATAATCACCTTTTTTTTTTTTTTTTTTTTTTCAACTTTAATAAAAATACAACCTTTCTTCAGAATTTTTTTTTTTTTTTAATTGAAAGATTATGAATTTCAAAACACAATCTGAAGCTTTTTTTCCTTCAATTATGAGTCAATATTTGTTCCTGGTAAAGACTGACTCATGCCAGATTGTCTTTTGAAATACACAGAGCTCTTTCATTTAAAATTGTCGCCAAAGTTATACAAAGTTGAGCTGAATGTTTCTAAAAATCCGCAGTATCTGTGGCAAAACAAATTCATAAACAATCAAATTAACTTCTTAAGCAATTAAAATTACGCACCACATCTGTCTTAGTAGTATATGTTCCCTTCTCTAGACTTTCCGGAGCCATCCATTTGACAGGCAACTTGGTCTTCTTGTTATCACTGCTGTAATAATCTCTTTCATATATATCCCGTGATAAACCAAAGTCAGCAACTTTCACAGTATGGTCCTCATCCAACCTATAAAACGCACGTTGAATTAAAAATTCTTATGAATAGATCTAAAATTACTCGAGAAGACAGCTTACGCTTTCCTGTTTAATAGCTATATCAGACCCCCCTGCGGCTGAGCGGTAGAAGCCGCTAAAACACTGGTAATTCGGTCCGAGGGTCGAGTTCCGGCGAACGAGCTAAGTTGCATGGGTGTTTCGTGGTTTTTCCATGATTGCGACTCAAGTTTCCTTTAAAAAGTCCACCACGTGGCATCTCCCCCCTTTCCGTATTGTGCCTGATGGCAGAACACGTAATAAAATAATAATAATAATAAGCTTTATTATTTAAAGTAATAACTGAATTTTCTAATTTCTTCAGTTTTAGAACTCGTAAGCCCGAAATTTTCTTTTTAAAATTATTTGGATATTATTAGTTTATTTTTTATATATTAAAAATGAATTATTTATTTAAAATTATTAATTAAATAAAATATATATTTAGTAATTGTAACTAAAAAGAACTTTTACAAAGCAAAATCAACGAAAATTTCGGTTTAGAAAGTGATTCAGAATTATTAACAGTCAGCACAGAATTATCAAATTTAAATTCTCTATGGATTGTTAAGCTTAAAAGGTATTTTCTCCCTGTTCTCCGCATGCCTTCGTGCTGTAACTGGAAGCACGCTGGACGTGAATTCGGGAAGTCCGGCTAAGGCATAGCGGATTTCTTCGATTTTCTTGCTTCGAAAAATTACAAATGGCACCCGAACTAAAACAAGTGGTGGACAATAATTCATCCCCACCAAGAATTGGTGATTGGGTTCTTTAATCCCCAGTCACAGTTCTTGTAGTCATGATATACCCCTGAAACGGTGGTGTGTGAATATTCCAACTTTGCTTCTGCCTTTGAAATACTATGAACCATCTCAAAAACTTCAGCTATTAATCTGTTTTTAAAATCACTTAAATTTTAATTGTCATTATCATGACAGAAACAGTTCTAGAAGCTTTATTTATCATGTTCTAGAAGTTCATATATTTATCACTTTATGTACGCACACAATGACGTGCATGAATAGCTCTGTATTCTTTATAAGGTTTGTCTACACCAGTTTTTTCCCCCTTCATTGTACATCAGAAGAATTAAAAGAACAGGAATAACAAAATAAAAGAAGAGCAAAGGCTTTCAGAAACACAGAATCAGCTCTGAGGGAAAGTAATTATTAAGTTTCCGTTTCTCATGCGATCCTCTTACATACCATTTTACCCTTCGGAGCGAAATTTTGCACAAACGATTTCTTTTAACTAATCCCGATTTTTGATCTCCTGTTAAAGTTGTTTCGATTTCAAAAGCGTTCATACTAACTACATTTATGAATTGAATCTCGTTAAGAGCTTTTATTTCAAATCAAAAACAAAATCTGCCACGTTCTCCTGCAGCATATAAAATATATACAGAGTTTTCTTTCTGTTACATTGCTATAAAATAAAGGAATCTCAGCAGTTTGGTTAATTCTGCAGGAAGTCAAGCAACTACGAAAAATGATGGCTTGTTCCAAATTCTGCTGATTATCTCAAAAATTCAAAAATTTCATTTCAGTAAAATAATTTTAAATTATTTGCAGATATTTAAATTCGTTTTCGCTTTTCGTTTATTTTCATGGATTTCATTTTCAATCTGCATTGATTTTTTTGGTGCATTAATAATTGCACATTTTGGAACAGCAGCCCAATATGGGCCTTACAATTTATTTTACTAGTACAAAACAGTATGCATTTTTGCGAAGACATGAGTGTGGAGTATATTACCACTCTTTTAACTATGCAGCAGAAACACCACTGAAACTTTCATGACTGAAACTGGCTCGGATACGCGTTACATATGGGAAAAGTTGTAGAGACATTAGGATTTTTTGTAAGCAAGAGAGATGAAAAATTAGCAACCGCCTTCGCCGGGAATCGAACCGCGGACCTCTCAATTACGCGCTGAGTCTTCAGACCACTACACCACGAAGGCTCGCTAAGGAGGCGGGAGAAATACCTTATATACTCCCCCTTTTAAAGGGCAAATGGGTTTTTTTCAGGGGACCCAATCGCCAAATCCTGGGTGAGGAGAATCATCATCCAACACCCTTTTTTTAGTTCGGGCGCCACTGTAGAGACATAAGGTATTTTTTTGGAAGCAGGCAAGATGAAAAATTAGCAACACCTTCGCCGAGAATCGAACCGCGACCTCTCAATTACGCGCTAAGCCTGCACATCACCACACCACGAAGGTTCGCTAAGAAGGCGGGAGAAATACCTTATATACTCCCCCTTTATAAAGAGCGACTGTTTTTTTTTTTTTTTTTTTTTTTTTTTTTTTCCCCCGACACAATCGCCAAATCCTGGGTGAAGAGAATCATCATCCAACACCCTTTTTAGTTCGAGCGCCACTGTAGAGACATTAGGATTTTTGGAAGCAAGAGAGATGAAATATTAGCAACCGCCTTCGCCGGGAATTGAACCACGGACCTCTCAATTACGCGCTGAGCGTGCAGAGTACTACGTCACAAAGGCTCGCTAAGAAGGCGAGAGAAATACCTTATAAAGTCATGAAAACGCCCATGTTGCCAGACCGCTCGCCGGCATTCGAGCCACGGAAAGAGCTACCAGTGTTCAGCAACTTCACCGCTCGACGGCTTGTGGGCTTCATCTTATGCGTTGTTTTGAAATTATAATTAAAAAATAATTATGGTTTTTACATAACTATACTGTTTTTTGCAGCTTTCAAAGCCAGTTTTCTGCTGCTGAAATAAAAGCGGCTAATCTTTGGAATATGGTAACATGTAGTTTGGCGACATTTTGGTAAGGCGATAAAGGTTACTAGCTAGGACTTTAGCAGTGTACACGGGTAAAGTTAAGAGTGTGCGCAATGCCATTTTTGTGCAATTCTGGGATTTTTGTTTTTAAGTGAAAATAGGTCAACGTGTACATGGTTACCGTGTATGTGCAATTCTTAAAAACGCGGCATGTAGTGTAGTTTGCGATTCTGCAGTTTCTTCAATTTCGCACCTGATCTTCGTCATGATTAAGCACTTTTGTTCCATAAAAGTTATAGCATAAGCGTAGTTCGGCTAGCAAATTGTTGGAAAAAAATGTTGAGTTTAAAAAAAAAAAAAAAAAAAAGATTCCTTTACTTTGTGAAAACAAAATGGCGTCCAAACAAAAACTAGCAGGTTGCTGTATCAGGGTTTGTCGCCAAATTTTCGTCAAGTTACCATAATCCAAAGATTAACCATAAAAGCTATTATTTTATGATAAAAATTCAGTACTTGAGGTGCGAAATATTTTAACGATTTGAGAAAATTTAAGAAACACGGTTTTAATGTGTATTAGCTTATCATTATGATATAAAGAACAATAAAATGTGCATGATGTAACTACAATCATTAAATTGTAAAATAAATGCCACAAAATAGTTGTGAGTAGGCAAGAGTAAAACTTACATGCAATTTCTGGCTGCCAGATCACGATGAACGAACTTCAGATCAGCAAGGTATTTCATGCCAGCGGCGATTTGAACTCCAAATGTCAAAAGATCCTTCACAGTTGGATTCTGTTCAAATAATGAAAAATTATGAATATTTTTATTGCAAGTGAATTTTCCTCTTGCATCCTTGTATCATTCCGCTACAACGCAATATTTTTAAAGTGAGCAATAGTGCCCCCTTAGAGATGTCGGAGGCATTCCAGGCAATAATTTTACAATAAAAATTAGATATAGTTTATCAGACAAGTTCAACATGTTATATACAACAAAATTTCCTTTTTTGTCCAGCTTTTTACAAAACAAAGAAATCGAAAAAAAATTTGTGGTTAACGATTTCAGTTAACAAATCATAATCATAGTATTGCTGTTTTGTAACAGCAGCTACTAATTTTTAGGCTTATGCACATGGAATTTGTCCCAAAGGAGCAGACTGTGGATGGCTGTTTTACTGCGTAGCATCCTTATGAATATTCCAAGATATGGAAAAACACAGCTCGGCTATTGCACTATGAAAATGCACCGGCACATTCTTAGCTTGTTGTCTATAAAGTGTCCTTGTTGTCTATAAAGTGTCCAGGGACTTGGCCAGCGAGAGGCGCTATCCTCTACCTCTTGGGCAAGATAAATACGTAGGCCTGATCTGGATCATGGTGAGATCAAAAGGATTAGAAGATAAAAAAAAAAGTTAGAGAACAACAAGATGTAAGAGTAGTTGAAATGTACATTCTGAAACCACCGTGGAGTATTCGCGTTGCTGATTCCGTTACCAAAATCGTAATCATTACCATTAATCTGGGTGTGATATAAAATGTTTGCACTGACAATAATCGAAAATTCTTTTTCCTCTCGCATCTTTAAAACAAGTACTTTTGAGATTTTCTCGCTCGTGATATTTAAAATACAATTAAATAAAATTCAAGCTATAACTAAATTCGACCGATTAACGGTTAAGCGAATGGAAGAATTTACATAGTGCTAAAGTGAAAATAAGCATTTGTTTAACTACCCAAATACATATTAACGACAGATATATACAGATTAACTATCCAAACACAGATAAACCCAAAAACAGATTTTGTTTATGTCGTATTATGAACTTGCCTGATTTTTCAATTATTTTAGCAATATCTATGCCCTTTATAAAATAATTTTCTTATGTTTAAAACAGGAAAATTATAGTACTGACTATTATCGATATCATAATTCCTCAGAGAACGTTTGTTTTAAAAGAAAGATAGAAGCTTTGATAAATACTTTAAAGGACATTTTTATTTCTTCCAACAGCATATTACCAAAATACGATGTGGTATCAAAACCTTTCCGGGCTAGCTCAGCTTACCCGTCGTAACTGTATACCCAAGTTTCGTCACCGATAATGATTCTCGATATAAAGAACGGGTGATCCACAGCATGTCTGAGGAGTTCTCGGCAGACTTCGACGACGTTTCACTTCTCCTTCTGGATCAGCAGCCTCGGAACGAACTTATGAACTTGGGAACACGGCGCATGTTTCAATAACACGTGAGGATTGCCTGCACTGTTCCGTATGACTCACCGCCAATGGCAGCAATATTATGGATTGTTCTCCAACGATCATAATGTTCACTATGTTTTGATACAGTCAGTGATAGTCTTCCAGTGATGTTCTCCCAATCTTGAAGAGCACATGCCGCTCAAAACACCTCGAACGACTCATTGCAGCATTGCCCATACACTTGCAGAATCATGTCAAGCGCCTCTGTAGCGAATTTGCCAGTTTTATACAGAATTTACCGTTTGCTCGTTGTTCTGATGAAATAGCAGACGTGGTAATGTTTATGATGAAATAGCAGACGTGGTAATGCTCGTGGTCAGAACAGCACCAGCTGTACAGCTCGCTGTGTACACAGGACGATGTCTCTTGGCACACTGACTTGTGAAGTTGGTACTCTGTGTGCCTGTGCATGTTGTCTTGCGCTGCTATCCGTTGGTCTGCCACAGAACTAGTCTCGAAACGTTTTGATACCACCTTGTATTTTAAAAAGTAATTTGTTTGGGATAAAGAACACAAGATTCACAAGTCAATTTTTACTTACGTTATTCTCATTACGGATAAAAGATAGAAGATCCCCATGTTTCATATACGGTATGACGACCATCGGCGAACCGTCTGGATCAAAACATACACCAATTAGAGTCAGAACATTGTGGTGATGGAAATCTTTCATCATCAATCCTTCTTGAAGAAATGCTTCCACGTCTTGTTCGATGACCGTAGAACCTGATTGGAAAAGAAAAGCATATTGTAATTAGAGACTTACGTACGTAAATTAGACATAAACATAATACCATTTATTTCTGATATATAAAAAAAGTCTCCACTAAAATAGATTTTTATTTGCCTTCAAAATAACCAAAGTAAAACAACACGAATAAAATCTGTAATTATTACGAAATAACACAATGAATATTCTAGCTTATATAGCATAACTTAAACAGATATCGCTGGAAATAAATACAAAAGTTATTCAAATAAAAATGTGCTGAATCATATAGCTTTGTCAAATGGCATGGAAAATCAAAAGTCTAATGAAAAAAAAAAAAAAAAGTTGTCAGCTTGGAAGACAAATTGAGAATTGAAAGAAATGCAAATTGAAAGGAATGAAAATAGGAAACGTAATTTTAGTTTTGGTGTTTGGTCTCGAAGATTTTTTCTGATTAACCATACCCCACCGAAAAGTCATGACTTCGTTGGCAACTCTGTAGAGCATTTGAAAGGAATGAAAAAAGGAAACGTAATTGTAGTGTCGCTTCAGTTCCGTTAAGTTTCTAATTAAATTTAGTTAAAGCGAAATGGCAACACTTTCTAGTCTCCGCGAAGAACGAAGTAAACAAACTTCGGGTTTCTGTCATTCCTCCCTTGCATGCAGATAAAAAAAAAACATCTCAAAATTAGAACTCTTTGCTGCAAGTGGTACGAAAATTAAAACATATGGCCAAAAATTACTAAAGCTTGATCTTGGACTCAGACGATCATTCACATGGCCTTTTGTAATTGCGGACGTAAGCAAACCGATAATAGGCATGGATTTTCTTGCAAATTTTAACCTTTTGGTAGATTCTAAAAATCGCAAGTTGATTGATGGTACTACATTCTTAACAACCAATGGAACTCCTTGTTTTCAAAATAACAATAATAATATTCCGATTTTAAATGCCGTAAATGATCCATATAAACGTATCATTAACGATTTTCCGGATTTGTTAAAACTGAATGTAGTTAATAATAAAGTTAAAAATCATAACATCGAACATTATATCGAAACCAGAGAGGTCCACCAGTTTTTGCTAAAGCCAGGAGACTATCAGCTGAGAAACTTAAAGCGGCTAAAAAGGAGTTTGAATTTATGCTCCTCCAAATGGGTTTATGCAGGCCATCCAAAAGTAACTGGTCGAGCCCACTACATCTCGCTATGAAGAAATCAGGTGATTGGAGACCTTGTGGAGACTATCGAGCATTAAACAACGTCACGATTCCTGATAAATACCCTCCCCCATTTTTAACAGACTGCAATTCCATTTTAGCTGGAAAAAGAGTTTTCTCATCCATAGACCTCATTAAGAAGATATACCGAAAACGGCCATTCTCACTCCCTTTGGCTTATTCGAGTTCCCATTCATGACGTTCGGTCTACGAAATGCGGCCCAAACGTTCCAACGTTTCATGAATAGTGTGTTGAATGGACTAGAATTCGTGTTTTGCTATTTGGATGACATTCTAATAGCCTCTCCAGATGAAGAAACTCATCGAAAACATATACGAGCTGTCCTTGAGAGACTAAACGAATATGGCCTGTGTATTAATGCGGCAAAGTGTAAATTTGGTCAAACAAAACTTGCATTCCTGGGATACGAAGTGTCAGCTGAAGGACTTAAACCTCTTTCAACAAAAGTTGATGCCATCAAAAATTTCCCAGAACCAAAGTCATTTACTAGTTTAAGACGATTTTTAGGTATGGTGAATTTTATCACAGATTCATACCAAATTGTGCGAAACTGCAACAACCTTTAACAACATTGCTCAGTGGTATTAAAAAAAAACTGCAGAAAAGAAATAATTTGGACGGAAGAAACAAGAAACGCCTTCCAGATCTTAAAAGATGCACTTATTCATGCCACAAACTTAACTCACCTATCCGAAAAGGCTGAAATATCGCTAACAACTGATACTTCCGATACTGTCATTGGAGCCGTTTTACATCAGATTGTTAATAATGAAAAACAACCCTTAAGTTTCTTTTACCGAAATTTGACATCAGCACAACAAAAATATAGTGCCTACGACAGAGAACTCTTAGCCATCTATACAGCAGTAAAACATTTCAAATACATTAGAAGGGCGAACTTTTGCAATATACACGGATCACAAACCACTAACATTTGCCTTCCAACAAAATCTGGAAAAAGCTTCGCCACGACAAGCTAGAAAACTATCATATATAAGCCAGTTCTCAACCGATATCCGATTCATACAAGGGCATGAAAATACCGTCGCTGACGCTCTCTCTCGCATAGACACCATTTCTGTACCATCTGCAATAGACTTACAAACTATAGTAGACTGTCAAGAAGATGACGACTTGGAGATACTAAAAAACAACCCAAACTTAAAAATCTTACAGATTCCTATACCGGACAGCGACAAGAAAATTTACTGTGATACATCTACAAATTATAATCGACCATACATACCTGCAAAGTTTCGGCAGAAAATATTTTCTTCAATCCATAATTTATCTCATCCTGGAATAAGATCCACGATAAAATTGATAACACGACGTTTCATATGGCCCAATATGAATAAAGACTGCCAACTATGGACTAGAGCATGTTTATCTTGCCAAAGATCTAAAGTTCACAGACATACACAGTCATCTTTGGGAGAATTCAAAGTATCCTCCACACAGATTCCAGCATTTAAACATAGATCTGGTTGGGTCCGCTACCTCCTTGTACAAAGGATTCAAATACCTTCTAACCATCATCGATCGTTATACACGATGGATCGAAGCGGTACCGTTAGAAGATCAATCAGCAGAATCTATTGCTAAAGCTTTGATTTATACTTGGTTTTTTCACGCTTTGGAATTCCGAATCGCATAACATCGGACCAAGGTCGGCAGTTTGATAGCCAACTTTTTCAAGCTTTAGGAAAATATCTTGGTTTTCATACAAACACTACAACTGCGTACCATCCACAGGCCAATGGCCTGATCGAAAGACAACACCGAACTTTAAAAGGAAGTCTCAAATGTCATCTACTCGAATCAAAATTATGGCTGGAAGCATTGACTTTCGTTCTTTTAGGCATAAGATCTGCCATCAAGGAAGACTTAGGCTTCTCATCCGCAGAACTTGTATACGGAACCCCTTTAGCATTACTTGGTGAATTCTTTTCAACAGTACCTCATATGAAACAGTCTGAATTTTCTCAAAACCTTCAGAAAATAATAAGAGCTATGAAGCCAAGTTCTACCACCACCCATGGAAATAGAACAGTCTTTGTTTCTAAACATCTTTCCAACTGTTCTCACGTATTCCTATACAACAACATTAATAATTCGTCGCTACAGCCTGTCTATCTTAGACCGTATCCTGTAGAGCAAGAAAGGATAAGTACTTCGATATTGAAATCCAAGGAAAAGTTAAAAGAGTTTCAATAGACAGACTAAAGCCATGTTTCCTAGTGCAAGATTCTGATAGTCCTTTCCAAAACTCCCATTCCAAGAAAGCGGAACTTGGGGAAACACCTGCACTCAAGAACACTGAAGAAAATTCAGATACTCATCATAAAACCAAGACTACTAGAACCGGCAGACATGTGAGGTTTCCCAGTCACTTTAAAGACTATCTTCCATAATCGCTGCCACTAGGAAGGGGTGTGTAGTGTCGCTTCAGTTCCGTTAAGTTTCTAATTAAATTTAGTTAAAGAGGAATGGCAACACTTTCTAGTCTCCGCGAAGAACGGGTTTCTGTCACGCGATGCTACGTGCATGTAAAATGTAAATAAATCTTATGAATAAGAATCTATAACATCGTAAGGAATAAAATATTGGTTCCATTGGAGTCAGAGAAGTGTTATTTTTCTATATTTGCACACCAGACACTTCACTTTGCACATCAGACACTTCAGTAATTTTAGTTCTGGTGTTTGGTTTTGAAGATTTTTTCTGATTAACCATACCCCACCGAAAAGTCGTGACTTCGTTGGCTACTCTGTAGAGCATTAAGTTTTCGCTAAGCTAACGCACGAAAGTTACGCACTGAAAGTTACGTACAAGAGCGATCAATCAATAAAAGTTAAAAAAGCAAGAAACATATGTAATAAAACACTTACCTTTTTCAAAAAATCCTTATTGTTTGCACTTTTGTTCACTCCATTACAAAAGCGAAAAAAAGGTTGCGTGTATACGCGACCTTTTTTCGTTTTAAAAAAAATCGGAGGAATTGTACCAGTTCGACATCCTTACAACTTTTGCACTACATACCAGCCAACTCTGACATGTGCTTCATACATACATGGATTAGGCCATAAATAAGTTTTGGCGATATAAGTAAGTCGTGAAATAAGAATTAATATTGCCTTGTCTCATAAATACTTGCCACTTTTCGGCAAGGGGCATATAATCAGAAAGTAACCTTATTTTTTTTAATAAGTAATTCAAATTATTCAGGTTGCAGAAGAGAAACTAATATAATAATTTTTTTTATGTGATGAAAAGGAAGAGCCTGTGAGAATTCAAGAAAAAATATGTATTTACAGTTTGCAATCAAAATCATGAACTGTGATGTTGAGTAATGGTATTCTTTTTTGCGTGAAAAATTTCGTTCTCATATTGCTAAAATGATATGGTAAACAGCTGAACCAAATTTGTAAAAAACGACTCAAATCCCCCTTTTACATAGTCGTGATTTTATACATTGAATTATGATTAATGGAAATCGCAAAGCGTTTTCTTCGTGTTCTGTCTACTGAACGAACTTTTGCATGCATAGAATTTATTTCGAGTGAAACGATTATCTCAAGACAGAAGTTTGGAGCTGATTCCACGCACCACTTCCTAAGGAATGAATCCAAAAATTCATTTACTCAAAGGAATAAGTGTCTTGAAAACAAAGGCGAATAATTTTAGAGTATTTTCATGGATTTTGTATAATTCGCTGATTTTTCATATGAATGCCTGTGTAGTTTTGTTCCCTTATTCTTAATAGAAATACAAT